AGGTCGTTTAGGAAAAACACTCTTCATCGTGTATCGATTTCGAGACGATGTGATTCCTTGCTCTCAGTAAAAATGTGCTAAGTATTCTCAGGTCACAAACTGCGAATGAGATTTGAAGCATGTCGGTAAGGCACTGAGTGAGGCCTAATCCAGGTCGTTAAACCTACGGGAGAAGACCACCTCAAGTTGCTTGTGCTATGCTAAGAGATGTATCATGCGACCTCCTCGCAGCTCGGTCAACTCGACCAAACATCATTCAGACAAGTCAGGTCATGGCATAATTATGAAGTTTTCAAGGTTCAATCCTTAAACCTTAAAAATTGGGAGACTTTATATTATGCCTAAAAAGTTAGGGCTAACATGGACTTTCGTCAACAAGAGCCAATCAGGATTCAAGAAGGTTTTGTGCTGTCCAGACGTTGCCACGTTATGGTTCTTGTCAGTGCAGTAGGTGAACGCTGGGCTTGCAAGTGGCCAGGGATCGTCCACCTACCCAAGCCCTACACAATTTGAAGATATTTCTCGTGCAGATAACCATTAGGATGCAAGGAAGGACTTGCATGGCACCTACCCACTTGCAGACTTATAATCATTACCTTGAATTCTCCCACTATAAATAAAAGACTCCCCTCTTATTTACGGGATTGGCTTATTGTAGTCTGAAACAGCATACATATTCTCTCTCTCTCTCTCTCTCTCTCGATTGTAACTCAGCTCGCCACACGCGACCTGATTGTATCCACCTATTAATACTACAACAGTGGATGTAGGATTCGCTTTTGAGTATCCGAACCACTTTAAAAACCGCTTCTCATTTATTCTCTCATTTCATGTTTTTATATCACGTGTAATTTCTAAGTCTGCTTAGCACTTTGCACGTGTGAGTTGTTGGTGTCAAAATCCAACATCAACACAAGCCATAATGATGACGAGCATGCATAATAAGTTAACAATTATCTTTCCTCACATTTCTGGGAATCTAATTAAATTTTTGTTCTTTGATAATTGTCTGCTCTGCAATTTATCTTTTTCTAAATTTTGACTATTTCTTTGGTTTATAAAAGCAGTTTTCACTTTAAAATTAAAAAAACCCTAAAACCCTAAATGATTTTCTCTTTACTCTTCACCATTTACGCATTTCTCCTCTCTTTTTTCACACAAACACATACATTTCTCCTTAGTCCTCACCCATTTTCACTGTTCTTTTCCCTCTCAAAATAAAAAATAAGATAAATTAAGGAAAAATTAAAATGAAAAACAAGTTAAGGGGAAAACCGGTATTCCCCTTAATCGGTTCAGTTTTGGTTCAGGAAAATTCCTACTTAAATATGGAAAAGGAATAATTATCCTAAACAAATTCTACTTCCCTAATTCAACTCAAAATAAAAAACGAATACAATTAATCCTTAACTCAAACTCTCAAACACTTAAATTTTTGAACTGCATTTGCATCGTGGCATAAAAATTTCTTCGCTGCGGCAGGCATCCTAGCCACGTTTCTCCTTTGTTTCTTCTTCGTGCCACGCCAAAATTTTTCCAGAACTCAACTCCCTCCTTTGCCGTTGCATACTTTTTTCTTCTGCGGCAACATCTTCATCAACTACCAAAAAGTATTTTCATTCCAATACAAACGCACTCTAAAAGTTTTAGCTTGTACAAAAGCCACTTTATTTATTTCACATACCTATTGCTTTTTGAGCATGGAAAAAGCTATTTTTTTCTTTTTTCCTCATTAGCTGTCCAACTTATTTCCTTCTTTGATATTATATGGTTTGGTTCTTATTATTTAACCTACTTACCATAAAATTCTTGTTTTAGAACGATTAATTTATTTTTAAATTTCATGTGATTGCATTGATTTCTAGCTTTAAAGTTTTTATTTGCTGCATGAAGCTTCACCTTTGTTCATCTGCCCTTTTATTTCTTGTCTTCTTCTCTTTTCTTTCCTCTACAATGGGAAGCGATTTCTTTTCAAGTGTGAAACCTTGCGATTCCACTTTACAAAATCCTATATAATACTATTACCAAGTATCCTCCCTAGCTAACTTTGATGCCCTTTGTATATATTATATGGTGAGGATATATATTATATGGTGAGGATATATACGCTTGCCTTTTGTGTATATATATATGGCGATCCCTTCTTTGTTTAGAGCGTGCGTGCTCCCTAGTGGGCAATTGTTCCCATCCTTTTGTCCAAAAATACGGTCACATCTGTTTTGGTTTTCTTTAAACCTCTTTAGGGGTATGTCTCTAATTTTCTGTATAGCTTCTCTTCTTTTATGAAATTTACCTTTTCCAAAATATATATATGGTGAGGATATACAAGCTCATGATCATTCTACTCACTACCCAAAAGTACTTTCTCAAAAATCATAAGGGCATCTGGAAATTAATCTGATTTGCACATATATAAAATCATATCCATCATAAAGTAAAGCCAGCCATAAGAAATATAAATAAATTGGAAGTTTAATTCACACAGGTAACAATACCATGTGAAGGTACATAGATCTTCATTATATAATTTTTCTTGAATTTAAGCGAAGATTAACGGTGTTTAGTAGAAGACATTAAAAATGAGGAAAACAAACTGTAAGAATTTTAACCCCAAGAAGTTGGTCTGGTGGTCAAAGAGGATTGCTCCCTTCTTTGAGTTCTTGGATTCAAACCTTGGAGCCACCTACCACAATAACATTGTGGCTTACCTGATCTTTTGGGCTTGTAAGTAGGCATTGCAATGCTCCCCGAAATTCCGAGGACCCGTCTTTTTTTCGAGGATAGGGGCGGGGGTGGGTGATGCCTTATATATATATATACTTTTCAGTAATACCTCTATATTTCACCTAATTACACAATTATCCTACCTGTATAAACTCATATTATGTTTTTATAAGGAGAATCAAGGGAAATGCTCAAATTTATGTTTATGTAAAATTAATTATGTTTAAATGATTAATTTAAGTGTTTGTCATATGAAAGAGAATTAACTATGTTTAAGCAATTAATTTAAGTGTTTATCATGTGGATGAGAATTAACTATTGTGTTTGGTAATGTTCAAATTAATTTATGTAAATGTAAATGTAAAATTAACGGGGCGGGGACAAGCCTCCAACATTCCCCATGGGGCAGGGAAGGAGAATTCCTGTCATCCCCATAACGGGGATATGGCAAGGGTGGGGAGTGATTTTGAGTGCGGGGATAGGTACAGTGAATGAGATCCACGTCCAGCCCTATTGTCATGCCTACTTGTAAGGTGTTCAATGAACCTCGATGATTAGTTAAGATACACGCAAGTTGGTCCAGACACCCTGATTATCAAAAAAAAAAAAAAAAAAACTGTAAGAATTTTTTTCTTTCTTTCTATTGATTGAACTTAAATGTTCATGAAAATTGTTTCTGATTAATGACCTTAGCCACAAAAAGAAAACTCTTAATGAGCAAGGTTTTGTTGATCACTTTCAACACTCTTAATGACCAAGGTTTTGTTGATCACTTGCAACACTCTTAATGACCAAGAAATCTCTTTTTACTCAGCTCAGCAATAATCACCGAACACCGCTCAGTTGAATGGCAGTATTGCCCTACACGTTCCAATCAAGCCAAAGCCAAAGCCAAAGCCAAATCCATAGTGGGTACGCGTCATTAAGCTTTGAAGAATGTGAAAAGAGATATAAGTTAGTGGTCTTTAGCTACTTGTATATATATCTCTTTGTCAAAAATGTATCTATATATTACCCAATTATAATATATATGATAATAATTAAAGAGATGTCGGGGTGACAAAATCCAGGTCGGTGACTCAAAAGAGGACTATCTTTGAAAAAAGTATCCTATCTTCTCCATTATAATGCATCTTAACTGGTACATAGCAAGGTTAGGGACGGCCAAAAAGCAAAAGCTAGGTTAAAGAAAGGAAGAAGGAATCTTCAATCTTCTTATTAAATATAAATAAAATAAAATAAAGTAATTAAAGTATCATCTCTCACAACAAGCAATCCAATGCTCATATTAGTTTTCACCAATTGGTCTAAAAGCTGCTTGCCCATCAGGTTTTCACCTTTAATCTCTCCATCTTTATTATTATTATTATTATTATTATTTTATTGCGCTGCACACCAATATCATTTTAGTTCTCTAATATAGGGAATATATCAATCTTGTCTTTGAGGTTTGGCCTAACTAATAACATTTAGTCTTGTAAAATTTTTTAATTACCTTTTGGTCAATTAAATCAAAATCCTGACCTTTTTAATACTATGGATCCGAAATACACCCCCCTCCCCCCCAGGCTAGCAGCGGTTAATTAAATCCTAATTCTAAAACATTTTTTTTTTTTTTAAAACATACTATGGAATACGGGATCTGGCCGTTAACGACCATGGATCTAGTAGGCAACAGCCTGGATAGTCTTGGCCGTTTCTAGTCAGATCTAATGGAATCTGGTCGAAAATGGTCAGATCAGTGCACAGACGACTAGATTCGACCGTTTGTGCGCTATTACGACGACCGCCAATGGTGGTGGATATATATATATATATATATAAAATTTAAAGTATATTAGAATCAATTGATCTATCATAGTAGTCTAAATAGAAATCTGAACATAATAGACCCTAAAAAAAAACAATACTATATTTACAATCTAGTCTCATAAACTTTCTATCTCTATCCCGACATGACAGCTCACAATGTTCAGCTTGCAATATAATGGGTCTTATCTACCTAATTGCGAGCTGATCAATTGTGAGCTGTCACGTTGGGATAGTAAGAGAAAGTTTGTAAGATTAGATTGTGAGTCAATCTTTATTGAATTCAAAAACCTAACGGACTAAAACTTAATAAAAAATTCTATAGAAATAAAGCGTTACTAAAACCAAATCTAGGGACGACATTGTTATTTTGCCATCAATGCATGCATAAATGGAAGAAAGACTAAGAATTAAAACTAATTAATAAACCTCTTCACCTCTTTCACACTATATAATCAGTCTCTGCAGCACACAAATACTTCCCTCTTTCTTCACTCTCCGAGCAACTAAAATTTACGCACACATAAACAAAACATATAATGTTCCATTGCAAAACAAACCAATCAACATAGCTCTCCATCTCTTCTTCTGAAAACCCTAATTCATCGAATGGCTTCATCTCGCAAACTGATTGTAGAAGTCGTGGATGCACGCGATCTGATGCCAAAAGATGGACACGGCACTTCAAGTCCTTACGTTTCAATCGACTACTACGGCAAACGAAGGAGAACCCGCACTGTCATTCGTGATTTGAACCCCTCATGGAACGAGGTTCTTGAATTCGACGAGGGGAAGCCATCGGAAGTTTTCAGTGACATCCTTGAACTCGACGTCTACCACGATAAAAATTATGGCCCCACGAGGAGAAACAATTTTCTTGGGAGGCTTCGGTTGAATTCGAGTCAGTTTGTTAAGAAAGGAGAAGAAGCTTTGATTTATTATCCTCTTGAGAAAAAGAGTTTGCTGAGTTGGATACAAGGTGAAATTGGGTTGAAGATTTATTATGTTGATGCTGTTCCAGCGCCGCCCGTTCCTCCACCGGAAAAAGATCCACCTGTTCCTGAAGAGGCGAAACCTGAAGAGGCGAAGCCTGATGAAAAGGCTGAAGCTCCGTCAAGCACTGAACCGTCACCGCCTGCTGATGAGAAACCCGCTGAAGAACCGTCTGAAGGTGAAGCTAAAGCTGAAACTGAAGCTGCACCACAACCACCAGCTCCGGAAAATGCGGCACCTGAAGGGGAAAAGGAACCTCAACCTGACACGTCAGCACCACCACCACCACAACAAGAGCAACCTCCTGAAGCAAAAGATCAAGAACCACCACAAAATGCTCAAGAACAAGATCCACCACAGCCAGTGCAAGAGCAAGGTGATATTGAGTTTGATCTAAGTGGACCCAAGTGGGACCCGCCGGTAGCTCCATCCGAACATGTGATGGCTGCATCCGTGTCCGGATCACAGCCGCAGGTGAAATTAGCTCCTCCGATAAACTCTCCGCTGCCAGTCTCGAGGACAGTATCTATGGTAAGCTACGCGTCGGACCCACCGGATAATATTTCCATCGAACGCTCGTCGTTCGATCTGGTGGAGAAGATGCATTACCTCTTTGTACGTGCTGTCAAAGCGAGGTTCTTACCCACCAACGGCAGCCCGGTTGTAAAAATATCGGTTGGAAACAACCGCACAGAATCAAAACCGGCGCGTAAAACTTCGTTTTTTGAGTGGGACCAGACATTTGCTTTCAGCCGCGATTCTCCTGAATCATCCACATACTTAGAAGTCTCTCTGTGGGACCCGCCGAGAGGTGACGTGTCAGCAGAAGGTAAGTTCTTAGGTGGCATTTGCTTTGACGTTACAGAGATCCCATTGAGGGATCCACCGGACAGCCCTTTGGCCCCACAATGGTACAGGCTGGAGGGTGGTGGAGCCCACAATGGTGACCTTATGCTTGCCACGTGGATTGGCACTCAGGCTGACGAGTCCTTCCCTGATGCATGGAAAACCGACACAGCCGGTCACGTTAATTCTAAAGCCAAAGTTTATGTCTCACCAAAATTGTGGTATCTCAGAGCCACTGTAATTGAAGCCCAAGACATTTTGTCGCCAGTAGCGGCGTCAAGAGAAGCTTCATTCACAATCAAAGCCCAGCTAGGGTTCCAAGTGCAGAAGACCAAGGTCTCCGTTACACGTAACGGAACTCCGTCATGGAATGAGGATCTGCTCTTTGTCGTCGCCGAGCCATTAACGGACCACTTGACTTTTGTTCTAGAAAACCGGCAACCTAAAGGACCGGTAACATTAGGGATCACGAAGATCCCACTTACAACTATAGAGAGGCGAGTCGATGACCGGAAAGTTGCGTCTAGATGGTTCATCTTTGAAAACACCAACGATGATAAGGGAGTTTACAAAGGTAGAGTCCATTTAAGGTTATGTTTTGACGGTGGATATCACGTGATGGATGAGGCAGCGCACGTGTGCAGTGACTACCGACCGACGGCCAGGCAGCTGTGGAAACCGCCGGTTGGAACCATTGAACTCGGTGTGATTGGATGCAAGAACTTGTTACCGATGAAAACAGTTTTTGGTAAAGGCACGACAGATGCTTACGTGGTAGCTAAATACGCCTCCAAGTGGATTCGGACACGTACGGTCTCTGACAGCTTGGAGCCACGGTGGAATGAACAGTACACGTTTAGGGTTTACGATCCATGCACGGTTTTAACCATCGGAGTGTTTGATAGTTGGGGAGTCTTCGAAGCTGATAACGTTAACAAAGAAACGACACGTCCTGATTGTCGTATTGGTAAAGTACGGGTACGTATCTCTACTTTGGAGACGGGTAAGGTGTATAGAAATACGTATCCGTTGCTTTTGTTGGGACACAATGGGACGACAAAAATGGGTGAGATAGAATTGGCTGTAAGGTTCATACGTCTGAGTCCAACGTTGGATTTCTTACATGTGTACTCGCAGCCTTTGTTACCGTTGATGCATCATATTAAGCCGCTTGGAGTGGTCCACCAGGAGATGATGAGGAGCACAGCTGTGAAGATCGTAGCCGCCCACTTGACGAGATCAGAGCCGCCGCTTAGGCAAGAGGTGGTGCTTTACATGCTGGATTTGGACTCCCACGCTTTCAGCATGCGTAAAGTACGTGCAAATTGGTTCAGGATCATCAACGTGATTGCGGGTGTGATTGATATCATAAGGTGGGTGGACAACACGCGCGCGTGGAAGAATCCGACTGCCACTATACTTGTGCATGCCTTGTTGGTGATGTTGGTCTGGTTCCCTGATTTGATCGTCCCCACACTAGCGTTTTACGTCTTTGTGATTGGTGCATGGAACTATAGGTTTCGATCACGGGACCCACTGCCCCACTTTGATCCGAAGCTCTCATTGGCTGATACAGTTGATCGTGATGAACTTGATGAAGAGTTTGATACAGTGCCAAGTACCAGACCAAATGAAGTGGTAAGGATCAGATACGACAAGCTACGCACGCTTGGAGCACGTGTCCAGACATTGTTGGGTGATTTGGCCACGCAAGGAGAACGTGTGCAGGCATTGGTGACGTGGAGGGACCCACGTGCGACGGGGATATTTGTACTGTTATGTTTCATTGTGGCAATGATTCTGTATTTAGTACCGTCGAAAATGGTGTCAATGGCTTTTGGGTTCTACTATCTCCGCCATCCGATGTTCCGTGATCAAATTCCATCACCGGCGTTGAATTTCATTAGGAGGCTGCCATCACTGTGTGATCGAATGATGTAGTTTGATAGCAAGCCATTTGATTTTATACCTAAGTTGATAGCCTTAGTTTTTTTTTTTTTTTTTTTTAATAAAAAAAGTAATTAATTTGTAATTGATATAAAAGCCTCCTTATTTGCTAAGAAAGCAGGAGACTATCTAAGCAATTAATAAATATAATTTCTCCTTTTTTTTTTTTTTTAAACCACAGGTCAGCCCCTAAATCTGCAGTTGCAGAAAATGCGTATGCTACTTTGCAAAAGTTATTAAAGCATGACCTTAAAATTCACAATACTATCCGCCCATGGGTGGCACGTGGAAAGGGCGAACAAAGGAAGGTTGCACATGGTTTCAATCTCCTATCCTAGGTTCGGACGTAAAGATAGTATCTTTCTCTATAATTTATCTAAGAGAGTCAAGGTCTATTATAAACTGACGCAGACATTTCAGTTATTAAAAAAAAAAAATTTCACTATACATTTTTATATAAAAATCATTTTGTTCTTGAACATTCATGTCACATTCTATATAGCCACAAATCAGTTTAAGATTCAATAGGGTTATGTTATCTTATACAAGTTGGCACGCTTTAAGTAAATAATGCTTATCTTAAATCCAAAGCATTTTTTAGTGAACTTAAAGAAAAATTGTTAATCTTATATTCTTGTGTTAGAGTAGATGCCCTGAGTTAATCAATTATTGTAGAATTGAGGCTTTGTAATAATGTTCATTAATCAATAAAGACATTTTTCTATATCGTGGTAAATCATTATTATGCAATATGTATTGATATATGTCTTAGAATGGTAGAACCGTGACGAGGGTATCAAGTGTATCAAATCTTGATAGTGAGAATCTTATGAGCACATATGGTGGCCATTCTAAAAACGTGTAGCCCTAGTATTATTCTGAAATAAGGGCACAGATAATACGGTAAGGCTATCATAGTGTTGAACGATCCTGTCGAAAGACAGTGACTGATCTCACTTGTCAAGGTTTGTTGGTGACAACCTGGTGCAAAACATGGGTGCCTGCTGTAGGCGGATATACCGCAGCAAGTTCAATAGACTAACCCACCAGAGGATTCCATATGGATGGTAACCCCAGTGTCTATGGAATAAATCCTCTAACGAATGGTGGTGCATGTGATCCTTAGACTGAGATCACTGGAGTGTCTTGTGCACCGATTGGTGCAGTTTGACACTAGCCTAACGCAGTTATATGAAAGCTGTCAAACGGTGGTGATTGGCTGCATCAAGGAGTGTATTAAGACTATGGTGGAATGACAGAGGATTCATCACTCTCAGGTACGGGAGAAGTTATCTCACGGTGTAATTCAGTATATGGCAATGACACTAAAACTGTGGCCACAGTGGGATGAGTTATGGTCTATCCAGATTATAATACAGGTCATTGGTCCAAAAACTTAATACATAATATCGAGAGTAACCGAAGGTTGACACTATTTATATGTCTTCGTCTCGTCAAGATACAGTATGATGAAAGGATCGAATTGTACGATAACCATATCGTTGAAAGGTAGCTACTTTGCTGAATTGAATCTATCGGGTGGCCATGATGCCTTGCTAGGGGCCAATCTTGGTCTGTGTATTAGTGAGACGATTAATTGGTGTTAATCTGATAATATACACTATCGGTATGATGAGGAGCCTATAGGTCACACACATAGAAGATAATTTAAGAGCCAGGAAGAAAGAATGATGTTTCGTCTTTTTAGGCGAAAGGGTATTTTGGTAATTTATAGTGCAATTAAATCTGCTGAGGTAGACTTTATTTAATTTATAGAAAAATTAAATAAGTGAAATTACGTTTAAATACATGTTCGCATATTTAAATAAATTATCATTATTGTTAAATTAATATATTATATAAATATTATTAATTGATTTTATTGAAAATAATGATGAATAAAATAAATTTTAATTGGGGTGTTTGGAAACATGGGGTGTGTTGGGTTGAGCACAAGCCTATTCCATAGAGAATAGGGCCAACTAAAAATGACTATAAAACAAAGGGTGTAATTTTTAATTCACGTGTCTCGCTGGTTTTTGTGAGAGTATTGCAATATCGCGATCTTCGTGTGTGCAAAATGGAAAACACAAAACCCCCGATAGTCCAACACAACCTACTACTACTACTTACCCCCCACCGTTTGGTGGTTTTTTCAGGCGTCACAAACTAGTCTTGTTTTATTAGGTTACGTGCGGAGGATTAGCAATACTTGTAGTTCTTGTGAATGTCTTCGTGCGAGAGGACCCCCACAGAGCTACTCCATGCGCACTTTTTTGTGTGTTTGTACCCATTTTAGGTCGGTTAGCAAAAACCCAATGCGCACGAAATATGACTGATAGTTAAAGTGGCAGCACAGATCACTACTCGTCTAGTGGCGTATCACCGCACGCACTGTCCACACAAGAAACGTTCACCCCGACGACAGAACCTACAAGTTTGGCCTGCAGCAGATGTCCTTCATTCTTATTCACCGATGATTACATAGCCGATCTGATCGGTAAACTGGAATTCTCTGATTGCACCACCGTCAGCATATTCTGTGCCTGTGTACTCACATGTGCGATGCGAGCCCAGCCGAGGCCCTTTACGACACGTTGGAGTGTAACCAGTTAGTCGTTTTGTTTTAGCCGTAACTGGCAACCTATTACACGCAGTTCCTAACAATTATGTAGCATCTAAAACGCATCACTCTTGACATGTTTAACCTATGTCTTTTTGTCTGGGGAAACGCGATGAGGTGTCGAGCCAGCTGCACGTGACCCTCGGCTATCTTCACAAGTCTATTGAAACTACAAACCCAAAGATCAAGTAATCAATGTTATTGGTAGGTACATCAATGTTTGAACCTAGAAACTCAAAGAAAGAAGCAAACTCTTGACCGTCAGACATCCCTTGGTTGACATATTGAACTTGAATCTAACTATTAAGGGTTCACGGTGGTGAGGAATTGACTCAAAAAAAAAAAAAAAAAGGATTTTAATTGTAAAAATCTAATGAAATTGTCTTGTAATCGAGATCTTATTCAAAAGAACAATATCAATATCTCTGAATTTCTTTTATCAACGATGTTTGAAATGTTGAGGATATAATTGTTTGATACATATTGTAAAACTGAAAACTCGCTCTCTACGTGATCGTTTTCAAAACTTTGAATATACTGTTTGATATTAACAATTCTAATTTGGTTTCTTAAGATGGAAGAGATTCTCTCATTTATATCATTTTCATTTTGATGTTTCTTTTGAGTGATGGGGCAGGCTTTAATTTTATCTTTATCTTTATAGTAATTGCTTTAATAATATTTTAAACTTATAGCTATTCCATATATGTATATAATATATGGTGCATAGCATTTATTGGGTGGATAGAAAAGCTATTTGAAGAGTAAAGAAACTGAACAAAAAAGAGTAGATGGCAATTACAAGGTGCAAAATATGATCAACACGATTTTCAAAAACTTTGCAATTACAGAAATTACAGTTTCTTTTATTGGAATGGACAAGAGGCAGAAATTAATCTACCGCCTGCTGAAATTATACATATGTATGTAAAAGGTTTCTGAAAAGGGTAATATTACGTGTACAAAGAACTGTATAAAGATTTTTTTGTATAAAGTGATGTGTCAGGAGATTAATGAAAGACTGAAGATGATGAGTTTGATTTTCTGTATTCACTCTTTTATTCATCTTCTACCACCCCACTTTGTACAAATAATCTTTGTAAATTTCTTTGTGCGTTTAGCTTTATTGTTCTGAAAAATATCTGCTTTAGGTCCAATCAACATCTTCTATTATGTCAAGCGAGCTTAAACAATTATAAATAGAATAAACGACTTTTTCCCATGAAGGTTTGCTTTAATGACACTTTCCCACCCCAAAAGTTTCAAAATACCATTTTTTTAACTTAAAGTTAATATTTCATTACTACCCAAAGTCGATTTCAATGGCGATAATTTTCTCTGTCACCATCATTTGAACATTCGGTTTCCTCTCTACAAAACCCCTTTAACTCTGGCACCTGATTTCTTGCCGATTGCCAGCCACCACAAAGCTATAGTTTCTTGTTCTTAGCTGATTTCGGTGACGAATATTCAACCGATCACCAACATTCGATCCATCGGCATCTACTCTACAAAAATCCTATTACCCTAGCTCCCGGTAACTCGCCAAACGTTGGCTGAGAAAGTGAAATATATTTTAGATATTAACGGAATACAAACGTTGGGTGGAAAAGTTGTATTTTAAAACTTTTTGGGTAGGAAAGTGTCATTGAGGCAAACCTTGAGTGGAAAAAAGTCGTTTACTCTTATAAATATTAAACCATGTATAATTAAGTTTTTTATTTCTGTCAGGAGTAGCAACAAGCTACCAAGGTATGAAAAATTAAAGTTTATTTGGTTCATATAATCAAACATAAATGGCTTGTCGATCTTTCATTATACTCCGAGGCAGATGCAGTACTATTTCAGGGTGAGCCATGTTTAAAAAAAAAATATTAATATGTATTATTTATGGATTTTGATCCACCCTAATCAAAATATTAATAGACAAAAATGTTAATGTGCAATTAGTTTTTATTTTAGCCAACCCTAATAGAAATTTCTGGATCTGTCCTTGATTATATTGTCTAAAATTTATTTGATATACCGAAAAAATTGAGCTGACATTAATTTTCTGACTAGCAAAACAACAATAGATTAATTTAATCCCTAATTATTAATTTAATTTTTTTCAATACAAATGTTAATTTAATATAGTATCAAAACAAAATGTCACAACTTCAACTTTACATATTTCAATTAGATTAAAAAATATATATATATAGATTTTATATGAAAAAATTGTTTAACTTTTTTAGTAGCCAATCCTCGTAATTTATTTATTTTCTATATGCATGGTGCTAGCTAGAGCTAGTACTTAGGTTTGATTATGATTTATAAAGCCTAGAGAATCCATTTGACTCTATTAAAATGCCTTAGGAAATAAATAAATTGGTAGAGGGCTGCACATCTTACATATAATATGCCAATAAAATTAATTATATGACGAAGATTTAATGGAAAATCTTTATAGAATATTAGAGCTACCTATTGTTAGTGTGTGTGTATATATATATATATATATATAGATCATCAATTAATAAAGGCTACAATTAGACAGAGCCTAGATTGTGATTTATATAATAATTTTTAGACGTTATAAGAGCTATAGTATCCGAATGATGAACTGCTGAATGATATAATTAATTTCAGTATTTATCTAAAATATCTGAATCTAAAGGTTTAAAATGGTTCAAGAATTGCATAAAAGTAGGACATATATGTTGATGCAACGATTTGCACTAATGAGAAGTACGTAGGATTTGGGAAGAATCTCCATATAAGTTTGTGAAAGATTTGGTGCTGAATCGATTTATGGATGATAAATACAAATGAAAATAAGTAATCATACAAGGAAAACAAATTTTAAAGTATTTCATATGCCCAATGCAAATCCTACGTCTACTGTTTTTGTATTGATATCTTTGTTTTGCTGCGCACAAGTGTGACTAACAAATTGAATAATTTATGTATCCCTAATTTGGGTAAAAAGTATGCTTATATATTATTATAGTGATAAACTTGTAAATAAAGTTGACCTAAAAATATTGACATACATGTGACGTGAATCCGTCCCTCGGAGATTTACTACACAACAATAAATAAGAACAAATAAAATGTGGCCTTCCTATAATGAATCATTGAATCGAGGCTTACCAAGAATGAGTTTTGAATCTTGGATATCACAATTTCAATTATATAAAAAGGCATACATCAAATATTCCCTAATTTGACTAGATTTCACACAGAAGCCAACAATTTCCCTAATTATACGACTTGAGTTGAATTTGAAACAAGTAAATGGAATCATATATAGGTATAGAGTTTGACTACAGAACAAAAATTGGATCAAAATGTCGTTGACATTAACTTTCATTATGAATGCAGTATGGAATGATTGTGTGTTGCACAAAATTTTGTAGCACCAACAACATTAATTTCATAAATACGACTAATATATCTATATCTATAGATTATATTATTACATTCGTCTACCATAGATAAACCAAGAAGAAGAAAACAAGATCCACATCACATCAAATCACATGATACACTAAGATATATAACACAAAAAGTAGTAAACAGTAGAGCAAATCAATTCATCTTGGAAGAATCTGCTTCCCACTTCAAGACTTGAGATTTATGTAAAGTTTACAGCCAGTATTACCAGCTCCATCCTTTTCTGAATAACACATTCTGATTATACAATCTTCCAGAAATTGTAACTAATGAAATACAGTTCCTATATATATATATATATATATATATATATAGAGAGAGAGAGAGAGAGAGAGAGAGAGAGAGAGAGAGAGAGAGAGAGAGAGACAAAATTTTGATATATTGCACATGTCGAGTAAGCAAAAGAAAGAAGTAGTATACCCTAAACAAAAGTGTTTTCTGACTCCAAGAACTAAACCCTAATAAACTACTAGACCATATTCTTGCGGCATGGGCAAAAAGATTTGAAATTAATTTTATGAAAAGCCCGAATTATTGGCCATTTTTTGGTGACAACATGTATCAACCAAAAATATATCCGTATATGTTTTTGAAAAATACACCTACCATTGAGTGCCACATGGGCACTGTGGAAAATAATTGAGCACCCTCATTCTCTCCTTCTTAAGACAAGATACAATGGTAAGTTACCCCATGATGATCACCATGAAAAGACAGTTCTGTCGGTTGATTTCATAACTTGGAATGTTTACATGATTTCTGAGAAGTATTTGAATCAAACTATAAGCTTTTGCTAGGGTTTATATATATGTGTGCTCAAGCTATTCGATTTAGATCCTGAACTCATTGAAAAACGACTTCTTCAAGACAGATCCAATTTGTAAGTCAGATAAAACTAATTATATCTTAACTTAATGAATAAAACAATACTCTTTTCTTCTTCTTCTCTAACTTTTTTTTCTTCCTTTTTCGTAATCGATGATGACATGTTCATATTCTCTTTCTTTTGCGTGCATGTCTTATGTTATTTGTCCAAGAATCTGAGGGACAAATTGACGAAGTCTGTGTAAAGAGAGAGAGAAGCTAGAGCAAGCAAGAGAGATGTTGTATATTTCCATTTTAGCATTATCAGATATATCAACAAATAAAGTAAACAATAGGGTTAATGAAGAAAAGCCTAAGTTGTAATAGGGTATTGATATGATCAATCATCTTTAAGGATCATCTTAACACAAAACCCTTAACATATATATGTAAATGTATAAATATATCAAACGTGAAGAACAACCCGAAATCAAACCCTTTTCTCATCAAACAAGATCGATCCAATACTGTTATACACCTACGAAATCCACTGGTGAAAATAGTTATGCTTTAATTTGAATGATATATAAATCTTGAACAGATCAAAACGAGTTTATCTCTAGAGATTAATTAAAGATGAGAGGTAGTATACCTTCTTTGAGATGATGAAGTCCTGTAGTTGAGTAAGGAAAAAGTTGGTGTGAGGAATGAAGCCTGGTCCGAGATCGATCGGTCCATGAAGTTATCCAAATACAAGTGACGAGAGAGGAAGAAGAAGAAGAAGGTTCATAAATGAAAGGATCTCTCTTGGATTCCTCTTCTTTCAAAGCAAATGAAAGATATTATAGAACTCATCCCATTCAAAACCTTTTCTTCCTCGAGACTATCCTAATTTACACACACAAAACAAAGAGTTGGAGGAGAGACAATAGGATCTTGGATCAAACTTCATTCCAGACACCTCTTTTCCTTCTTTCGAAAACCCTCTTTGCTCTTTCTCTTTTAATTTTCTCATGATTCAACAATCAAACCTAATAGCCACAAGGCTGCAGCCTGCAGCAATACTCAAGTAGTTATCTCTTTCTCTTTCTTTTATACACACACATTTATACTTACAGACAACAACCAAATTGAAAAAAGCATTCAATTGTAAAAAAGAGAGACGACAAAAGACTAAACGGAAGCAAAAGAGAGAAATAAAACAAACAGATAAATGTAGGAAAAGCACATGATAGACAGGTCATTGTATTCATAAAATAATGAAAAGTGTGGTGGGTTTTGCAGGGACTATATTGTCTTCTTCTAAGGCTAGCTTTTACAGCCTACCTCTGTGGAAAAAAGAGCTCTCTGCACTGAAAATAACGAGGAGAGGACCAAAGAAAACAACGATATGGGCTCCCACTTGGCGCAATTTAATATCATATTATGGGCTTAATTTTTTTCTTTTTTTCGTCTTTTACTGCTCCATTATGTGATATTAAAGTAAGGATCGCACATTAAGAAAAGTTAGAACAACAATCAAGATATCTCCATCAAGAAGAAAAGACATCACCGGCCAAATCAAAGCATCATATGAGCACTACTGATCAATATATATATATTCTCCTGTTAATTAGTATGGAATAGTGTACTGTTTAATTATATTGTAAATTATAAGAATATATATATGTTCTGGAGAGAGTGGGAGTGGGAGGGAGATTGAGTATTCTGAAGTTCATCAAAGTTGGTGAAAAGCAACAGTATATATTCGGGGAATCCCAATAACTTATTCAATTATACCATTATCATTCTTTTTCTAGTTTATGTCATTTTGGGGAGTGTGAAAGTGTCCAAACTACCACACAACACTTACTTTTTTTTTTTTTTTTTTTACTTTGCGGGTTATTTTTTTAAGATAATTGCCATCACTCATGCTTTTTGGTTACTCAGACTCTCATATTCCTGTTTAACAAGAGTTTGACCTGTTTATAATCTTTGAATTATCTTAAATAAGTAATTATGTTTGATTAGATATAATTGTAAAATTTTATAGGATTATTATCCAATGTACGTATAACCACCCAATGAAGATGTGTCATGTCATCGTGCGTGTATGATACGTACGCTCTTATAGGGAGATTGTATGTATATCTGATATACGTGAAAGAAATGTTCAACTTAGAAATGAATCACTGCTATGTGAACTCACTCAAGGCATTACAAGTGTAGCTTCCTGATGCATTCAAAGTCACCAAATAAAGATGACGTAAAGGATCGATTTAGGAAATTATTGATCGAGGATTAGTCTTGCTATCAAAGTTGTTATACCTGCTACCACTTCAAAAGGCTACATTGAATTTTCTTCGTCGATAGAAAGGTGCAGCCCCAGCTAGTTAGATAGGAAAGCATTATAAGAATTTAGAATGGAAGTGTATGTCGCAATCAACAAGTCACAGAAAAAGAAGTCTCATTGAGGCTGATTAATTAACTAAAAATAGGACATAAATTAATTGCACAGGAGACTTATTAGCAATATATTGAAATCAATAGGCAAAAGTAAGATCTTATAACCATTCAAATTTTTAAGTTAAAAGATTTTGACCTTTTAGATGTATATAATAATCTACATTGAAAAATTATTCAAGCATCAAAATATATATCCAAAGTAACTGGAGTTGTAATGGCACACCACATTAAACAAAGAGCGCCCATATGAATGTCATTTCATATAGATTTCTGTTTCATATTTAATACCTACAAATTTTATTTTGGAATTCTGTTTAAGAATTCTATAATGATGCTCTTATTCGATCCAAAGAGACAAAAAAATTCCATTTTTCTTTTTTCAAATGGAAAAAGTTTAGATGCCATAAGTTTCCATGTAATTATCTTTTCGTCTTATATAAATTTGTCTATATGTATATGCATATACAAGTATGTATTTTTTTATTTTTTTTATTATTCTAATTCTTTTTTTAACTAAAGTGTCCGAATTAGTTTACGCACACCTCAATTAATCTTTAGGGAAAACTAGCATAACAACCCACCATCACGACCTTTCACTTAAATCGTGGACACTCAAATAGTAAATCGAATTTGAGACTGTACGTCTATCTACATTATCTTCAATTTGTCCTAACCATCTGAACTATCCGTGGATGAGTATATTATTCTCTTCATATTATGATAAATAGTATTGTATTCAAAATAAGTATAATATATTTAGTCGCGATAACGACACAACACATAAAAGAGAAAGAAATTATGTAAATTATATATATAGAAACAACTAGTTCAATTGCCTTTCATGGTTGGTCCCCTTCCATGGTTGCTTTCCATATCTTCTCGTTGAAATTATTCCAAAGAATTTTGTTCATTTTAAACATCAGTTTATATTTGTTTATACTAAAGAGTAGTTGTGTTTTTCAAGGCATTATGATTGAGAGATTGAAGGATAAAATTTTGTGTAACTCATTGTCCATGCAATCATTAACCACACTTATTAATATAAAACCTTGTTTGAATTCTGGTGATTAAAGAGTTCTAAAAGAGAAAAAAAGTGACTGAAAATTCAAACCCCTTATAATTATTAAGTGATTAAGGTTTGTAATTAAGAAACAGAAGCTCCGAATTTGTCTTGTTTATGTCTTGGTCACCATAGACCTTGTTCCAAAGTAATCAATAATCAAATTAATCATCACTAATTACTGATATTACTTGTATATTATATAAATAAATTATTAAATCAAGACAAATCATACAATTACAAAAGAGTTTCACACAATGAATTCTTTCATGAATAATCGACATAACCTGGCTATGTTAACATGCAATTAAGGTTTGTAATTAAATTAATCCATTAGACTTGTTTAAATAAGTTGTGTTGGTGTCAAAGTCCCACATTAGTTAGGAGACGAGGACTTTGATCGCTTATATAACACAAGAACATCATCATCACCCAAAGATGTATTTTTCGGATAAAACCATGCGGGTTTAGAGCCCAAAGCAAATGATACCTCTAGAACCCACCTATCATGTGTCTAGATCTGGCATGTATCAACAAATTGTCTTATTCATTGCATGATTAAACTATTTAATTTAAAAATATATGTATTGTTTTGAAGGACCAATAGGTTGCCCACTTAGTAATGTTGATTCTATAAACTATTAAATTTGATTTTGTATATTTGGTTGATATATTATATACTTTACATGATTACATCAAATCCAATATTGATTAGATTAATGACAACCCACTAACATTATTAGGCACATATCCTATGAATATCATCATAATTAATGAGCCTATCATAGAAACATACCCTTAAAAAAATTAATGGTGACGCATAAACATAGAAGAGAATTACATCATCAAGTTCAAAATTATTGAATCTGGTTTAAAGAATTGAAGTGGAAATTGAAAAAGTTGATGGATTTGTTGTCCCTTTGCCAAATTCTTCCAAACCAAATGGGTCCATTAACTTTCTTTTCTTTTCTTTTCTCCTCTCACTTACACATACATACACATATCGATTGATACTTCAAATGCAAAAGCAAAAGATGTTCATTGTTCACATCATATTTATCAGTCTAATCAATGTCTACTCTTTTTGGCTCAACTATTTCAACTTCTCTGGCTGTTTCTGTTTGTTTGGCAATTGGGTCCTCCCCATTTTCTCTCTTATTGGGACTACCATCATTGATTTTCATCCATGGACCCTATTTACAGGCCCACTTTCCTTGTGCTTTCCCCTTTCCTTGTACACTTTCCATTCATCATCTATGATTCCAAATCTCAAAACTATCATCAAATTCTCATTAAAGTTATTCTTCTGATAATATTATTTAATCTTTTTTTTTTTTTTTTAATGATTGAGGATATCCGGACCAACGTACGTGCACCTCAACTAATCTTTTAAAACCTTAGAACTACTGATCAGATAAAAGCTTTAGTGGCTATCCCTATTAGCAACCGAGGAGAGACTCGAACTTAGGACCTTTCGAGTAATACATCCAAGAGTCATTATCGAACCACTCAACCACCTAGAGGTAGTTAATATTATTCAATCTTTGATGGATAACATAATAAATCCCTTAAAATCTTTTTCATTATTTAAATTCATGAGTTTGAATGAAAATAAGAGAAAATTGTCAAGGCTTGTTTAGGGTTGGCAATATCTTGGAATGGGGTCAAGGACCTTCATCTCCAACCTCGTCTTTGTGATGATGTCACTCCTTTAATCCTCGATGCCAACCTTGGATTTTTAGGAGGCTACACTCAGTAGTCTCATACCTGGAAATCTGTAGATTTATTAATTTAATTTTTAAATAAAATATTAATTTTATAGTAGAACCTCTCCATAGTCATAATATTAGGACTAACTAAATTAATTATTATGAAAAAGTTATAACCTAATTATTGTTTTGATTCAAAAATTATTGTTTTGATTTCTTATTTTATTATTTATGTTTTAGTAGTATTAGGATTTCAATTTATTGTTTTAGTATAGTTAGCATAGTACATAAATGGATATCTAAGAGTAATTGCATAATTGATTGATTAGATTCAACAACTTCACTTCACTAATCCAATAGATATTAATGTCTTCCTCAATCATCCAAATGAGCAACAAGTCGTGTATGCTTTCACTAAAGAAGAAATCATTATTGGAATTAGACATAAAGAAGAATGAGATAATCCTCAAGATGAAAGTACAAAAAAGAAGCTCTAAATATGTTTGAAAAGCTAAAAATATTTTGGCTTTAACGAGAAGGTCTCCATGCTGACAACTTATTACGAACCCGCAAGATAAAAGATGTGGTAACAATTCTAAAACATAAATTATTGTTTCAAACAACTTTGGATAAATATTTTATTTCATCTTAAACCTTTAATGTAACAAAACGTATATTTTTTTTACAATATACATATAATTATTACCACAGAGAGGCAAATTCTTTAAGACGAGACCTAGAAAAATTATAACTTATTACAATATGAAATTTATTCTTATTTATAACTGACTTAAGTTGGGACAAAAAATTTTTATGATTATATGAAAGTTATTCCTATATAGAGTATGACTATAAAGAGATATATTCTATTTAATAAATTATATACTTTTACCTAAGACAGGGATGAGGCTAGGTTTTGCGGGTTTCCTCCTTTCCCCAACCTCACCTTGCCCTATCCTTGATTAGAGGGATATAATTTTGGCCTTCCCTATCCCCAGTCCCAAACCTTTTCAATGATTCTCCTTTTAGCGAGGCATGGTTTTTTGGTAATTCAACTTCGTTGGATTTTTTTACCATCCTTACCCTTATCACTCTAAATTGATAATCTTAACCAGCATACAAAAGGAAAAAATAGTTCAATATAAACTCAACAAAACCTTTTGAGTTTAAGAAGCGATTGCTTCCAAACTAATCCATATAGCTTATACTATAAAAAATCAGAATTTTTTTTAAGAACATAAAATTTTGAATATTGGGTTGGGTTAAATTGGATTGGGTTAAACTTCATATTTGGTTGGGTTGGGTTGGGTAACAGTAACACCCGTATTTTTGCCATCCATGGATATTATCGAATATGGTCCATTAAAGTGAATTTTAGAATATTTTGAAGTGAGTAATTCTCCAAAAGACCCCCAAAAATATGGTTCCTTCAAGCCAGTCCAGAAAATGAGAAACCTGAAAATTTTGGTCTGTTAAGTAAAATTGTACGATTGCTGACTGCATTTAGAAGTAGCAGAGTAGCGCGTTTACTGTTTAGTTTCTGCGAAGCCACAATGATCCATGTATTCACATACCATTTGCCGATTCTGATCTACTTTCTTGCTGTTTTTACTGTCCCATCTTCGAGTCATGTGGGCATGTAAGTATGGTCTCGTATAAAAGAAAAAAGGAATTATGTTTAATTGGGTCTGAAATAGTTTGTCTGACCTCAGGTTTGATGCTGGAGCAAAAATTTTGAATGTTGGGGAAGAGTTGTGGAAGGAAAGTATGGCTTTACAAGGGGGTACTCGATTGTACCATCTTCAAGGCCTCAAATCTTTTACTTGGTACGAAGTGAAGATATCATATCCAGCTTCTGTATGTAAATTTTGTATCTTTTGTATCTTTATTTTGCATCTTTATCATTTTGAGAAGAGAAAAATGGCATCTTGTATGTATAGAGAAAACATATTGGGAGAGGTTTAAACCAATGAAAAATACATGAATGAATTAACAGTATTAGGTAGGGTTTTGATGAAATTAAATTTGTGAGCTTTTGTGAATTTAGGTGATTTCCCTTTTTTAGGACTTACATCTAATTTTTTTTTTTTTTTTTTATTTTTTTATTTTTTTGTTAATGATAGATACCTGCTAGCTTTTCCTTGCAACTAAAGAAAGGTAATTTAGATTTGGTGCTGAACCGGAACAGGAGGTTACTAAATACAGAGAAGTTGATTTTCAAAACTGATAATCTCGATGTGATCGATGATCAGGTTTGATTATGTTACTGAGTTTTTGAATGCAATGTTCCATGTTTTATGAGGATGGTTAGAAGTTTGGTGTTTTGCACAGGGTGGAATGTATGTTTTAGTGACTGTGGAGCCTGAGGGGATTGTTGCAATACCGCATGTGCAAGAGAGGGAGTTCATCATTTTCAATATAGGTAAACATTAGATCCATATAGAACTGTATTTATCACATTATTAATTTATGAAATTTCTTATCATTGTTGCATCTAAAATTTGTTAAGCTCCTCTGTTCTTTCTTGTCACTGGACCTCGTTTGGAGTTTTAAGTAAGGCAGGTTGACCCTTGGACTCAGGGTCCCATGAATAACTGCACCTAATAGGATGGAATATGGATATGGGTAGTTATATATTGGGGTCGGACAGATTTGGGAAGGAGTTAATCTGAACCATGTTTGTTGTAGTTATTGACAAGGTGATGGCATTTCCTGCCAAAGACCTCTCCCACTTTCATCCCTATCATAGATCTTCTAGCTCTTCCCCTCAATTACTGGTTTCTTTTTTCATTATGTGATTTCCACATGTTCTATAGAGCCAGTTTGTATGCAGCATCCGTTTAAGAAATAAATTTTTAAATTATTTATTTCCTGCATTGTTGCCATGATGCCATCCCAGTTCTGTTCTGTAATTTGTGATGGTACTGACTCTTTCTTATCTGTATTTGTGAGATGGGTTCATAAACGATTACCCAAAATCCTAGACATATGATAAGATTACCATCACATGTTCAGACACCTATAATGACATTTGAGTAAATGTGTTGATTAAACTAAGCTTATTTTTGGAGTTGAATTGGCTGGATAGTTGTTTTTCATTTCTCTTTTATTCGTTCAACAGAAGGAATCTTGGATTTCATTGTCATTCATCAATTGATACACAAATATCGGTGGTTGTTTTCTTTGGATGATGTCCCCTACTTTAATGATTCATATTCCCTTGCCATCTGATTTGTTTCCCTTCTTAGCTTCCTCTTGACAATGGCCATCGCCTTCCTTTTAACTCGAATAAAATAGCAACTACTTATCTTGTTTGCATCCTCCTTTTGCTCTTTTTTTTGTTGCTTTTATGATCCAATGTCCATATCTTGTCTTGTCTAGCAGCACAGCATTTAGTTTGGTAGTTAACTAATCTTGTTGCTCATGACAGTTTGTGATGAACTATTGTTGGGCATTCCTTACGAAGCTTGGTGGGTTGTTGTCTTCGTGACAATCTGCTTGATATTGGCCTTAATCATTCCTCACTTTCTTCCATCCTATTTGCTGCTGAAGAATGGAAGTTTGCAGTCAACTGCAGAGGGTGTTTCCAAGGAATCTTGAGATCTAATCTAGTATTGTAAATGAAGGCTATTGCTCTGTTGCATTTTGTTTTTGGTACTAATGTATAAAGCTACTCAATTAATCTCGGAGTTTTAAGTTTCACAATAATGGATAGGTTCTCTAGTTTTTTTTTTTTCTTTTTTGGTAACCAGGGTGTCCGAACCAACTTGTGCATGTCTCAACTAATCTCCGGAGTTCATTGAACACCTTACAAGCACAAAAGACCAGGTAAACCACAATGTTATTGTGATAGGTGATCCTAATGTTTGAACCCATGAACATAAAGAAGGGAGTAAACCTCCTTGATTGTCAAACCAACCTCTTGGGGTTGATAAATTCTATAGTCGATTGAACTTAGTTGTTAATAAAGATGCTAACATTTCACAAGGAAAATATGAAGAGTTAATTTTATCTGTCCAAATATTGAATTTTAAGGTGTCAATGTTATGAGTGGTGAAGACTTTTAACAGTTCATTAATGATTTTTCCAGGTCAAAACTTGTTGGGCATAGCCATTCAATTAATTCCAGTAATTATTAATATTTGATGAACAAATATTAGTTGTGAGAAAGTCTTTGTCGCAGAAACTTGATCATCGTATATGTCAAAATAATTAATTATGTAGGCTGCTTTTACATACAGACTGGACAATAGACATTCATCCCCTGCTCAATCAAAAGAATCAAAACTGTGTAGTCCCGGTTCCGCGGCAGAAAATTTGCAAGTTGCAACACCCAGAGAAATTTTCTAGGCTGCCAAGGAAATCCATGCACCAATTGAATAGATAATTGAGTATAAGATCAGACCATCTGTTTATTAGACTAAATTGACTCGAAAAATTTACAGTTTCCAGATGAAAACGTCTAAATGTTGATACATCAGGGGACTTGAAAGCATCAAGAAAAACAAATAAGATGATTGACAGCTATAAACTATCCTAAAAACTAAAAGATTAAAATGTACAGTGAGATTATCTGTACAGTCAAATGTACAGCAGCGCATTGAAGAAAAAACAAAAGTAACAAAGAAGAACATCAATTTCTGCCTCACCAAGAAATATCATTTGTTCTTCTATGACTGGTTTTTAACAATCTTAACGCTGCTGTAGAAGCGCTTGAACTCCTTCATAGCTTTCTCCTCGATTTGAATTGATCGAATCGATGAGGTGGTTTCAGCTTCAGGTTTGAACCACCTGTTCATTCCAGGAGAATCTGATGGTGAGCCCTGACTAGAGGAGATTGAGAATCCAGCTGTTCTCATCTTAGGACTGTGAGAGAGACATTGTTGTTTTCCTTGCTGTGAAACAAAAGAATAACATTTCAGCCCATCTCAATTTACTAAGTTAAGAAATCACTTCACAAAACCGATTTTTATTTGACATAGAATCAGGAGAGAGAGAGAGAGAGAGAGATTGTAATTTTGCTTGCCTGTTGCATCTGGATGTCCCTCAGAGATGGCCGAGAAGGATTGGGAGGTGTCCCAGAAGCAGCCCAGGGGGGTGTGCCTTTTTCTCCATCAGATGCATGCAACGTTCGAGAGGAGACCACAGGAATTGGTTTTGAAGGCAAGAATGAACTTAATAGAAATTTTCCTTCATTTCTACCATTAGAAAGATCTTCAAACTGATCTTTGTTTTTAGTATGCTGGTTCACCTTGATTTTGCTCTGCTCATTCTGAATTTCTCGAAGTGAAGAAGATCCCTTTGAAACTTTAGCCCCGCCCCATGCAGGGCCTTCACTTTTTGGTGTTGGTGGGGGAGGGGGGGCATCTTTTGGGGTGTCATCAAGAGCACCACTCAGGAACATAGAAAGCCCTCCCTTCTTATTCTTCTTATTCTTCTTAGGTGCCGTTTGTAAAGAACTATTACTTTTCGGTGTCTCTGGACTGTCTATCTTCTGAACCAAGAAAGTGGACTCTATGGAAGATTCGATGACCTTATCATCTTCAAACGCAGCATCTTCCTCCTACAAAAGTAAAAATAAAAAGAAATCAACAGATGTATTATGTTATAAAAAGAATTCTGGACTTATATTTCTGATGATTGCACTACTTTCTAGAGGATCTACTCAAACAAAATCCTGTCATCCAAGTAAGAGAACATAAAGACCACTAGCAGTCTGGTCACCTCTATTATAAGGTAATGATCAAGTCAAAAGTACAAAGGTCACAAACCTACAGATACTGTTAATCAGACAATATTTTCGAAGACCAATTTCAAATGTTAAAAAATGCAATGGTAAGATTATAAAAAATTGCTGATTCCATTATGAAGACTCTTTCCAAACTGGAGGGCCATTGTGCTGAAGTTACTGTTTACTTAAATGCAATTGCCACTACATGGAAAAACATAGAAGCCTTGACAAGCCCAGAAAACCAGGAATCCCCTTCTAAACACCAGAAATTTGAAGTGTAATACCCGAACAAACACCAGAGATTTAAATGGTACCACTAATATACTGCATTTAGCCATTAATTAATCTTGGTTCAACCAATGTATGGATGTAATGTGTATGAAAGTTTATGGAACCATACCTTACTCTTGGAAATTTGTGAGATTTCAGCGTCAAGGAAATCCTTTACAGGAGTTGGTTCCACATCTGTCACAGTAAAACCAGAAACTGTTTCCACTTGTTCTGCCTTATGTTTGCTCTTTTTCCTCTGTTTTTTTGACACTCCAGCCTTTTTATTCCCTTTTCCATCGGGCAAGGCTGCAGATGATGTTATTAACTGCGGTAACTCAAATGGAACACCAAGTTGAGCAAGAGAATTCTCAAGAGCTGACTTTGTTAGAAGCTTTGCAATTTGCTGGTCATCAAGAGGACACCCTTTATTCTGCTTCATTTCAAGCATCTCAATCTGCTGCAGTTTTTTCCGTAAAGCTCGAATTTCCTTGCTTATGCCTTGATTGAGATCATCTTTGGGTTGCAGAAAGGAGTCTAATCTTGTGTTTCCCTCTTTCTTGAAGGTGGATTTTTTCATATTGTTGTTGCGAGTCCTTAGAACCTCATTCTCACTATCCTCCTCTTCACTGTTGATGATAACAGGAAAAGTAGCAGTTGGTGTTGGGAGCCGACGATAACACCAAGGTTCTGACGACCTCAAGTCTAACAACTTCTCAAGGTTAGCTAAAATATCCAGGGATGCACTAGAAAAAGCATGTGATGAGACTGTTAATATATAGTCAAGGTTGCGAATACAAATATCCTGCACACAAATAAATAGAAAAATCACAAATTGTTAAATTCCGCATAATAAAGTCAGGGAAGGATACAGTCACAAATTAAATCTTCAAATGAAATTTTGAATCTTTTCCATGACAAATATGGTAATGACAAAATACCTCACAATGCTTCCTTAGATCATCAGCTTCAAGTGAATCTGCAATTTCAACTAGTTGTAAAGCATTCCTTGGCTCCACGAGACACTCTGCTGCCACTTTTTCACAAAGGCTTTTTAAGCTTGGTACAGGCCTATGCCCAGAATCATCATTTTCGACAGCAGATAACATACTGGACTCCATGTCATCAAACAAAAAATCTTCTTCAAACTCATCTAGGTCGTTCTTAACATTTGACTTCAGCTTCTGAGGAGTCTTAGCCACACTTGGAGGATAGACAGGATGATAGAGAGATCCAATAATCAATAAATGTGTTTCACCCACAGAAACAGAAGTAGCCTTCTTTACACCTGGTAACCGAGTAATAAGTGGTGGATTATCTTTAGTTTTCTTCCCATCCCACATATAAACATCACCTGTGCCTGTAACTGCAGCAATCCAGTACTTCCCAGCAGATATACTCACCACATTTCTTCCGCACAGTGAATACAACTACAAGTTCGAGGAAAATATAAGTCAAACATTTATTACATGGCAGAGGTACAAGTTGATCAAGATACTAAGTTCAGTCAAATAAAACCTGTTGGCATCTAAGATCAGGATCTGAAGAAGCCCAATAAAACAATGCTCCATCATCAGTGAGAGCCACACTATGGACCATCCCTGCAGCTATAGCAACCACATGAAGCCGTTCCGATCGATGGAACTTCAAAGGGGTGTTCCCACTCTTCCTCAAATTTCTAGCAGTGAGAACACGCTTCGGTGTAACAAGTCGGTGACCCCAAGTGTAGACCTGACATACATAATAAATAGATTTGGCCCTAGTTAGAGTAGAAGGTGGAATGATATACATAGTACTAGTTGTACGTTAGCCCGACTACTTGGGTTAAGAAGTAAATAAGTTATGATGAGTAGACTATTGACCACAACAATCAATTCTGCTTATATTTACCTCTCCATCAACTCCTAATACAAGTGTGTGGCATTTTGCAGCTGCAACTCCAACTAGGACCTTGCCTTTCAAGTACTCGACCAATCTAGGAGTGTAATTTGATGCTGAATGAGAGGTGCCATAACCGAGCTGACCCTCCCTATTGCAGCCCCATGTGAAAACTTCACCAGACTCAGAAACCACAGCAGTATGCTTGTTTGCTGCAGCAACAGCTATGATTCTTGACTTAAGAGAACTCACTCTACGAGGTGTGGGTTGAGTATCCACAGATGTGTAGCCAAGCTGACCCTCTGCACACCATCAAAGAATTAAACATTCAAAAAGCAGAAATGCAAACAGCATACAGAGAATTTAAAGGACCAATTTGTCTTTTTCATATTTATTTGCTTTATACTTTAAACACAAATTAACTAAAGTCAGAACTTATTGGTGTCTTTTCAATAAATAAATTAGATAATGGGAATTATAAATCACACAGCTAAACAAGACTTGATCTAAATCACAACCATACAATCTGGTCAGCAAATTCTGAATCCACGTACTGCCAAAGACCCAATAAATTTTACCTCTATTGGATCCCCAAGTGAATACACCCCCACCCTCAGTAGCGAGAATAGTGTGATGTTTAGCTGCAGCAATTGTCTTCACCCGGCACGACCCTAAACCAGAAGTCACCTGACGGGGAGTTATAACTGCAGCTTGGCCACTGAAAAGAATAAATATAATCCATCTGATTGTTGACTCAAAGGTCTTTATAAACACCAGTAAGCATAATAACTTAAAAAACACAGTAACAGAGCACAAAATAAAGGCTTGTTGGTTGGTTTTTGGTAATACTACTTTTAGTATTCCAAAAAATGTTAAACAGTAAAATACCCAAAAACTCAAAATATTATCAACTTTTTTAAACCCCTTAAATTTTTTAATTTAATTAAATACCCTTAAATATTTTTTAAAAATTGCAAAAACACTCACAATCCACATTTACCAGATTTCGGCCACCACTACCGAAAAATGGCCGGAATCTGGTAGGATGGCGCACTACCGGCTGAATCTAGCCGTAGTGCACGATCTAGCCTTTTTCGCGCAGATCTGAGGCCGAAGATCTGGCCGTCTTTGGCGTAACCAGTCGGTAACGACGGCCAACAAACGGTCGTGTTGACCATTAACGACGACCGTTTTTGGCTGTCGTTGAGAGCAGCAATACGGGGCCAGATCTAAGGCCGGGGTGGATCTAGCCGGAAAAGGTCATAGCGACACACGACCGGTAAGGTCCAGTCGGTCATGCGCCGATACAGCGACTCGACCATCCTCCGGCGGTGGTGGCAGGCTGTCGATTTGAGGGTGGGTTGGGGGTGTTTTTGTTAACTTTTAATGTTTATTATAGGAGGTGTTTTGTAAAAAAACAACATAGGGGGAATTTTATAATTTGTAAATCCTACATCGTAATATCCGACCAATTCAACTTTTTTTAACTTTTTTCAAAAAACTTTTCCCAAAAACACAAAAATGTGAACCAAACGGAGCCATAGAGTTTAGCTTTTGCCTTTTGGTAACAGCATTTAAATTTGTGGTAAATGGAACCATGAATATCCATTTAAGTATATCTCAATTCTTTGGGTTTTAGCAACCATCCACGAAACACAACCACACTTGTTTATCATAAATCTAAACATATAGTGTAGAACGTTAGTAATACATATATATTCATAGCTCCGTTGATTCACAATTTTGTGTTTTTGGAAAAAGTTTTTTGAAAAAAGTTAAAAAAAGTTAAATTGGGCAGGTATTACGATGTAGGATTTACAAATTATAAAATGCCCCATGTTTGTTTTTTACAAAATACCCCCTATAATAAACATTAAAGTTAACAAAAACACCAACCCAACCTCAAATACGGACAGCCGGCCACCACGCCGGAGGGTGGCCGGAGTCGCCGTATCGATGGATGACCGGCTGGATCTTGTCGGTCGTGCGCCGATATGGCCTTTTCCGGCCAAATCCACCAGCCAGATCTGGCCGTATTTGCTCGTCAACGACGGCCAACAAACGGTCGTCGTTGACGAGCAAATACGACCAAAGATTTGGCCGTCAACGGCCAGATCTTTGGCCTTAGATCTGGCCGGAAAAGGCTAGATCGGCGCACTACCGGCCAGATTCAGCCGGTAGTGCGCCATCTTACCAGATTCCGGTAGTGGTGGTCGGAATCTGGTAAATGTGGATTGTTGGGGTGTTTTTGTAATTTTTAAAAAAATATTTAGGGGTATTTAATTAAATTAACAAATTTAGAGGGTTTAAAAAAAGTTGAAAAATATTGTGAGTTTTTAGGTATTTGACTGTTTAACTTTTTTGGGAATACTAAAAGTAGTATTCCCAAAATGCAACCAAACGAAGCCCATATATTTGAATATTCAATTCAATGTTACCTTGAACCTTTGAAATTCAAAATCATTATAATTTTCAAAAGTTAAGTCTGTGAGTACTACATAGCAAAACCAAATTGTCAGAAAAATGTAAATTTTGGACTTATGATCAAAAATTTTAAACCTTGTAAACATGCATTTAATAGTAATAGATAAAAGATCCATACCTGTGGATATCAAACTCAGGATGCCCAAGGCGGCCCCCCCTCCCAAATCCCCAAGTGAAGATTTCTCCACGAGTAGTAACTGCAACACTATGGAACTTTGCAGCAGAAACCAACTTAATAATAGAACCATGAAGTGAATCAACTTTGCACGGTAGCTTTTGTATGTGTGCATTTCCAGTCCCAAGTTGATAATTTGCACCACTTCCCCAGCTAAACACCTCAGTTGCTACTAAAGAGACAAAAAAGCACTAAGGTTATACCCAAACAAAATCACATTCATTATGCACCAACAAGATCCACATAAATCATACAAAAACAAAGCAAAAAAAAAAAAAAAAAATACCTGAATTATGTTCAGGTCCAACAGTCCGCAACACTGGTCCAGATAGGAGATCAACTGGAGTTCGTGATTGACAATCCTCCAATGTAATAGAAGCACCAGACTGAAGTAGGACATTTGCCACAGCAAGATGACCAAAATGTAGAGCCCTGTGAAGACTACTCCATCCTGATTCTCCATCCTGAAAATGGATGGTATAAAGATCATGCAAATAGGAGCAATGCCCTATTATAAAGTTTGCAAAATGTGAACTTCCAGATTGGTTCTTACCCTGAATTAAATAGCAGATTATTGAATCTGTTCAATTTCATGATAATTTCTTATTTAAGTTATACTATCACTATTTTTCTTTGACTTTAATGTATTCTTATTACTCACAGCTAATCCAGCACCATAACTTAAATTGGATAAAACTGGCTCCTACAAATTGGATAAAAGTGACTCTTATATCCTCCCTGAACTGGAAAAGTCCACAACACCAGCTAAACTTTACCAACTTCCCAATTTGTGTTATCTCACTCATCTTCTTCTTTTAATTTCAAAATGTATCTCAGGTGTTAAGTCTGCATCATCACTTAAGAGACACCATTTTTTCAACTAGGAGGATAAATGATTTTCTTTAACTTGATCTATTCTTAAATATGTCAAACCTCCAAGATCAAAAATCAAGATTATGAATCCAAAAGAAGTAAAGTTCATTACACATTTACAAATATATTTTCCCTGCAGCAACATGCTTACAAATTCATTATATTTAAACACGGCAGAACATTGCTGAACTTAAAATTAGCACAATAATTCAGGGAATAAGGGAGTGTTATGATATATAATTAAGCAGCACATGCACCGAGTAATTAAAATGTGGAGGCACTAATTTTCAAGGCTTCCCATGACAGTTTGGTTTCTGGTATTTTCAAGCAAACAGGAGTTCCCAGAACGAGATACAAATTCAGCTTATGAATGAAGCACTTCCAACCAATTTTCAAAAGTAAACATGATTTCAGCAAATTTCTCCGTCCAAGTAGACAACAGAACTTGACTTATGTAATCAAATTTACACAAAAATTAAGAACCAAGTGTACATAACCGAAGACTGCATGCAACATTCGAGAAGTATAAAAGGAAACAGATGATGAAAGACATTTATTAAAACACCTTTAAAGGATAGATAAGATAAACGCAACAACATAACTTATTGACACCGAAACAAGATCATAAACACTCTAAAGTAAAACAATGGACAGGCATTCATTTGTAACACCAGGTTACTTATATGAACAAGGATAAAGAAAAATAACACACCCTAGCATCAGGGTCAGCACCAGCTGCAATAAGCCTCCTAACAATGGGAATGTGGTTTCTCCAAGTTGCAATATGAAGAGGAGTCAGACCGAACAAGTTCCTGGAATTAACATTACCTCCATTCTTCTTCAGCAGAGCTAATGCTGAATCTACATCAGCTAAAGACCCTTCCCGCACAACAAGACAAAGATCTTTCTGGATTCCACCAGGTGAATGCTTACGAGCAGATGTTTGTAGATTCTGCTTATGTCCTTGAGGCGAAACTAATATCTCCGTCATTGGTTGTATATGGAAATTAATCAGCACTTTCTTAGTTCACAAAGTTGTTAGTTTGACAGGAGTGGCATCTACTGCTTAAAAATATCTATATGCCTATATAACGTCAAGGGCTAAACTCTCTAAATTTCTTAAGGAGTTAGTCCAGGCCAACTAACATTAAGCAGCTCTAGTCCATGTTATAGCAGATATTCCAAACAAGGCATCAAGAGAAAAATAGATCCATTTCAATTAGAATTGAATTAAAATACTGCAATCAAATCATTATCATCGCCATCCTTCTTATGAACGCAAACCAATTGCAGCAGCCATTCACAAACCCCCATCAAAGTTGACAAGCCATAGAGAAATCTCCAGCAACCAAACAAACAACACAATGCATTGAAAGTTCTTTCAGTCAATAAAATCTCTGCAAAAAGAAATGAAAAAATTGTCAAATTAACCAGAAAGATGCATATGCACATACAAATAACACAGGTATGCACAGACCAGAAAAAGCAGGGTAATCCCTCATTTGAGAAAAAAAAAAAAGGAATCAGAAAAAAAAAAAAATACTGCAGGGAAACTTTTTTCCTTCATACAAAAAGAGTGGGTTGCCCTTAAATCTGGTGCCCACTAGGCAATCAAAAGCAAATAATTCCTCGATAAAGTTTTACATAGTAAAGTTTCTAAAAAATATCGGGTTTCAATGGAAATATGTAAGTGACTCATGATTAACAACTAAGACGGCCATACAATGATAAAAACAAAATTCAAGCAGAACAGACATAGCTCTTAACAAAAATCAGTATAGAACGTTTCAATATCACAACAGAGGCTATCCTTCTTAGACCTCAGGCATTACTGACACGTAACTTCACTGGAAGACACAAACTTTATACAAACTTCCCACAATGCATAATATAAACAGAAGCATAAGCTATGCACGGAAATGCAAATAATTATAAGGCAAAGAAGATCCAAGTTTACATAAAAGTGATTGGTAAACCTTAATAGGAAACTCAAGAGACAAAAAAAGTCACCGACTGGGTTTGATTTGATCACAAACTGAGTGTAAAAACAAATTATACGAAAGAAAAAATATACATTGGCTTGAACTCATTCATCGCAAGACTCCAAAAATAGTCCATAAAATAAAGCCAAAAATAATTGCATTGCGCCCCAAATACAACTCCTAGCTCCACCAAAATGAATAAAAAAATAAAAACTTTACAGCAAAAAACAAAGTTTCTTACTATTCAAAGCATGAGATAAAGCATATTAAGTCTCAATTCCCACATCCAGAATACAAAAATTTCATTCACACTAATCATAATAAACCAAAGCAACCAAAAAAAATCACAAATTTCAACAGGAAGACAACACAACACCATAATCATCCAAAACAAGGATACAAAACCTGCCCACCTAAAAATGATACCTTTAAGACACACCAAACAAATCTAAAACCAACCAATTCCCACAGAATCAAAACAAAACAATAAGTAATACCCACAAAAGGAAAATCATAACCCACTTACAAAATGAACAGAACTTCACAAAATCCACAGGAAAAAAAAAAAAGGGCCCTAAATTCAATAGATTTGTACATTACCTGATACTTTTCTTTATGCTTATTTTAAAGAGAAAACGCAGAGAATTATGAACAATAAGAATCTCAAAGAAAAAAATAAAAAGCAAGTTATTTATGTTACGGAAGAGAATCGAACATAACAAAGGAATATGCCGACGGGACCAAAGACATCAACGCAAACACAGAGAGAGAAACCGAACTGTTTCAAATCTGAGGGCAGTTTGGGAAATTTGAAATGACGTATGACGAAAATGTCCTTGGACTTTTGTTTGAGAAAGTATAGAGCGATTCTGAGTTGTCCTTAGAACACGTAAACAAGTGATGCGGTCAGTGACACGTGGCGAGAAAATAGGCTAGAGAACTGATGACAACATCTAAAAGTGCGTAAAAAGAAATTTTATTTTATTAATTAGTTAATTTGCCCTTTTTGGTAGTTTTGTGGTGTCCCTTTTTCTGATTGGCCGTTGCAAACTATCACTTCGTTGTTGTTGGAAGTTTGTGGTCGTTATGACCATTTTGCCCATCTTCTTATCAGTTAAGGTCAACCAAATCCTTTTTTTTTCTTACAAAAATTTAAATTAATAATAAAATTTTCCCTAAAAGGATATTTATTTGGATAAAATCATAAATTTTGGCTTCATGAAATTATCTCAATTGCTTTGTTCAAATAAATACTCTTTTTTTTTAGTATTAAAAAACTTGGTGAAATCATAAGGTATATTTGATGCACGGTGTCCTCTTTGGTAATTTTATTTTCTATTTTAATAAGCAATTAATACAATTTACAAAAAATTAATATTAAAGAGATGGAAGAGTTTATAAATATTTTATTTATAGTTATTTAAGGATAAAAATAGCCTTTATTTAGGGCTATAAAGGAATAAATTATTTATTTCTTTTATTAAAGTTTTATATAATGAGATAATATAAATATATTTTTTATTTTTAAAGTGTTTAACATGTAGCCTTAAATTACACATTAATAACTTTGTTGGGAATATTAAAAAAAAAAAAACTAAAAATCAATTAATTTATGACCCTTTCCTTATTTAATATATTTTAAATTTAATACATTTTCAATTAATGTAATTTAAATTTTTTTTTTTTTTTAATTGATTTGGGATGATCACACGTGTTTGCCCAGCTGTGACCACGTGAGCACGAGGAGCGGGTGTCCCGAATCCGCTAATAGCATATTCTCTGATTGAACGGTTTAGATCCCTGTGGTCCATGAACGATGATGTGTCTCACCTAATAACTGATTTTTTTAATCCAACACATCCGCCTGTGACGATGCATTGCTGACGTGTCATGATGTGACTGGCTGTGTTTGAGCTTTAACGTGACAACTCATGTGGCATTAAATTGAATTTTTATTAAAAGCAGCAGAACCTAAATATCTAACAAGAGTTTGATGTAAACAGAGATTAGGGTTAAATTTCTTTATTAAGTAGGTGAATAAAATTATTCAATTAATTTCGATGAAAGTGTGCAACACAAATTCAAACTAATTAATAAAGTACCAGATCTTTGAAGTCAATTACGTTTATCTCAAAATAAATTTTTTAATTAAAATTTCGATATTGTCTTTCTCCGTGGAAGTGAAAACTTGGGTGATGACAATTTTTTCACCTCCAAATAAAGGAAATGCAAATCATCATTGAGTGACCTGATGATAAAAGAGCAAAGAGATTCAACATGGATTCTTGAGTTCAAATCTCTCCAGACATTAATAGAAGTGGTTACGGAGATGATTTACCCGATTGTTTACTTTAGGGTCTAAAAAAATTAGTTGAGGTGCATGCAAACTGACTCGGTACCCCTAATCATCCAAAAAAATGCATGTATCAAAATGTGAAAAGAAACCGGGAGAAAGAAAAAGTTTTAGCGATTGAAATGCATATGTGGGAGGACAATAGTATGTGAGTAACCAAGGTGCCCAGACTAATGGATAAGTAACCACATTTTGTGAAACTCAAATACAAGACATATGGATAACTCATCCAGATAACAAAAGTCTTACCATCTGACCACAATCAAACGATTTATAAGGACTTTTGACATTCTTAGAAAACTATTTGATAATTTCCAAAAAATATTTAGGCTTCGTTTGGTTCACATATTAGGAAAACTTTTCTAGTTTTCTCAAAAAAGTTAAGTTTGTTTCACCTATTTTCCAAAATATAATTCTAAATTTTTCAATTTCCTGTAAACCCCTAAATTTATTAATTTAACTAAACAACCCCCCAAAAAAATTTTAAAATTTGACAAAAACACTCCAACAACCCAAATCTTAGAAAACTATTTGATAATTTATAAAAAATATTTAGTATTTTCGAGAACCGCTCAAACGTTTAGACGTTACCGCCAATGAAATTAAAAGAAAAAAAAACGTATAAATTCCATTACTGTTAAAACTTTAGGGGTTAATTAATTATGGAAATTAGGAATTGCTTGAAATGTACAAAAGCCCATGTGGTTTCCAAAGTGAGTTGTGATAATTTTGTGGTAGCTGAACGTAAAGGCCAAGATATGATCTTTTATCTTTGGCTTCTTTCACAAAACAAAGTCAGTTGAAGTAGCTCTGACATTTCCAACCACGATTTGGCAATTTCAATGGCGACTTTTACAATGGCCATGTTCGCATTTTATCATATTCTTATTTCTGACTCAAGTGAAGCTGTCAGCTGACTCTTCTCAACCACAAAATCTTCCTTTAGAAATATAAAAATAATTTCAGATTACTCATAAACTAGTACTGAAATGAGCTTAAACATTGAATGACACTAATGATGGTCATTTTTTACTTTGATCATTGGAGTCATCCAGTGGCTGAGATAGATTTGAAGCCTTCCTCCATAAGTAATGCTATAAACGAAGACAAGAAGTTAATTTTGACATTTCAAATGCAATTTAGACTGCAGTAGATTACTGTTGATAACACACATACACACGATGAAAGATGTTCAAGGGGTCGGCAATGATGCAGGCGACGTGCAAGCCTCAGCTCCTTAATAGTTTTAGAGAAGAAGAGAAATGGAGGTGATGCCCTCATTCATTGTTTCTTACCCTGTTAAGCGAATTTTGAATAACTCTTTCCAGTATTGAGTATCCATAAGATGTTCCAATAATGGATCTGATAAATGGAGAAACGGGGCATTATCTTCTTAAGCTTATCAATGCCCTGCTTATATTTCGTCTTCCTCAAACGGGTCTCTTTCAGGATATTCACCAACCTGTAAAAATAAGATAGTAACAACATTAACCAAATACATCAGGCAGTATAATTTAGGAAGGCCAAGTAAAGTAATCCGTAACATTTTTTCGACAGGCTACTCTTCTAAGTTTCGGAGGGCATCAAAAAAGAATTAAAACTTAAGAGAAACTTTGCTATTAGGGAATATCCGCATAATGATATGAAAAAAAAAAAGTAAATTTGCAGATCAGACCGAAAGGAAAAAGTCAAGACATCGGCAGTGTGGTGTACAGAATGTAGACAACAGCCTTATCACAGTTGCAGTTTTTTGTAGACCATATATAGACACAGCTTTCAATCAGTGGGCACTTATGTCAGGTTGTTCACTTATGCCACCTAAATTAGAGGATGGCTAAAAACTCTGAAGTGCTCAACCACTTGACAGGAAAATGAGTATCATTGGCATGAAGAAGTTCCTACATAGAAGCATAACATAGTTTGCCATACGAACCTTTACTTTGTCTGGCCTAACCATTGCACCATGGAGTGGAGGGCACTGAAAGTAGCGAATCCCTTTCACACTGCAACATGTCCAAGAAAAAAACGTAATTAATGAAAATGCAGAATGGGAGCAAAATATACAAACAGAAAGGTGCATTTATTTCAGCGTACCAATCATTTTATAAACATAACTCAACAGCAAAATTCTCCTAAGAAATTAAGCTCTCAGTAAACCGTGCACTAATTTTTAAAAGTTATTAAAGGTATTTCACATGATAATAGCAGCCCTAAAGTGTATTAAGTGGCCCAAATTTTTTTAAGCTATTTTAGAAGTACTGTCCTATGCTACCCTTACCACTCAATAAATTGCATAATGATCTACCAAGTTATTTGAAGCAATCTATAACATGAATGCATCAAAGTTTGTTTTATGATGCAGTTCTGATAAAAAAAAAAAAAATTAATTTTGCGGGATATACAAAAATAAACACAGTACTAGTAAATAAGAATAAGACACAATGACAAGTAAACAATAAGAAAACTAGAGAACACGTTTTAGAATGTTAAAAAAACTCCAAGAAAATGAAATGACAGTTCACATACATGCCATCATGTTTTCCCAATGGTTCATCATATTGAATTCCAACCCAGAAACCAGGTGCAAGCGATTCTGCTCTACCCGCAAATTTGACAACACCTCTTTTTGCCCCTGGATCAACTTCACATCTGTCTCCTACCTTAGATGTTGGAAAATTTGAAAAAGGAAAACAAATAATGGTGAAAGGGTCTCAAACAAGACAAGTCAACAGTTATTTTGTATAATCACAAACTGTGGAATTCAAGAATGCTCTTCACTGCTTGTACCGAAATTAGACAGAACAGATAGTCTAAAGGCATAAGGTGGCCATCTACATTGATGCAAGTATCAATTACAGCTTTAGACAACAAGTAAACCCAGCACACTGAACCAAGTAACATCAATAGTTTTTTGAAAAAAAAAAAAAAAAATCATTTTAGGACACATAATCTTATATCAGTCAATCCATAGCATTAAAATCACATTCAAAAATGCAAATGCTAGTAGTTTAAAAGTATTACATTCTAAGTTTCTAACTGCACCAAGCTTTTAAGTATCTTCGGCAATTCCAGAAAACATGCTTTACTAACAGGATTTATGCAATTGTTAATTACCAAAGAAGACTTCAACTTTTTCTAATTCTTGGAGCATTAAAGAATCTTACAACATATTACTGTACAAGTTATATTATCCTTGTCTCTACAATAAACAAGGAAGAACAAGACTAGAATAACGATAACATTTGACCAGTTGTTCCATCACTAAGACTACCCACATCAGCCCTAAGGTGCATTAAGTGGCACAAAATAATTGACTTCGTGGAATTTTGTACCGTCTATCTACCAAGAAAAGAGAAATTCTCCCCTTGGTCTTTTCTCATTTTCTCTTCAGGATAATTAATTATCAATTGCATGAAATGGTTTCTAATAAATGGGATAACCAGTATGACGAAATAATTGACTTCAAGGAATTTCAGGTTCTTTTCTAAATTGTACTGCTTAGACTTTTTTATACTAAAAAGGAAGAAAAGACAATAATTACACAAACAATACTGTCAGGAAGCTCAAGTTATTTTACTTTTGATTAGAAAAGAAAGCACAAATGCGTAGGACATTTCCAGCCAAAAGCAAGAAAGATATGCCAACATCTAAAAGACTAAAACAATGAGACACAAAGTGAACACCATAAAAAACAACAGACAACAATTAATCTGGATTGAAAAGTCTTGGACAGTAGAATGCTGACACTTCTCTTTCTTGCTCATTTTTACTGGCCATGAAAGTTTCATTGATCCCCATAATCATTTCAGACAAATTTTACATTCTCTCCTTTAATGAACTGAACTTCTGAAAGCATTTATTATAATTGAGAATATGTAGAAAGATAGAGAAGAAAAAAAAATCGAGTTAACTGACCTTAATATTTGCACAGAGATCTTCCATGTAGTTGTCTGATATCTGTCAATCAAAATTATACTAAAAAATTAAAAATCAAAATAAGAAGGAAAAAGAAACCTCAAGCCGAGCCACTACTACATTATTTAATTTCAGTTGAAAATTTATGAGAAGACAGCCTGCTGCAACTAATTATTTGTAACCCTTGTCAATTTTATTAGGAACACTGCACAGCAGACTAAAAACAGGAAAGTGAGAAACTTACCTTATTTTCAAAAGCTGATGAATTTTGAGATTGCATTTTCTCCTTAAATTTTCTAAATGTACCTGAAGTGCAAACACACACACACACACACACACACACACAAAGGAAAAAAAAAGACATAAGGAAATTGTTATCCACTAAAGCATAAAATATGGTTCTTCATGCGAATACAATCACATAAGCAATACATGCAATTGAGAATAAAACCTTTGGCACTAAATATAGTGTTTCCACAATAAATAAATATTAAAAGAAATCATGCATCATGCTAGTAAGTTCTCTATTATCCAGACATTATTTACAAAAAAGAATTAAAATTTATAAGTACTTCAGTAAGAAAAGACAAGAAAGACAGAACCATTTATTGTATTATAAGATTTCTCTTATTTCCAGCCCTAAGGTGTAACTACCATCTCAATCCATTTTGTCTATAATGCCACTCTAAGAAGTACAATTGAATCTTATGAAGTGAAAAAGCATAATCAAATATGAATTTCCAACAAAGGCAAGTTCCTGGACAAAATCTTTAACTCTTCAAAGTCCATCGCCAAAGTCAATAGTGCAAAAACAAAGATTTTGTTGGTTCTCAACATCAAATATTCACATAAAAAACTCTAAATATTCTACATATATGATATTTGATTGCTCCAAATCACCATATCTCGTTATGACACTTTCTTTCCAGCCTAACTAGAAAAAGAGCCAAGCCAAGCAAGCGACTGCTTTCTTGGAGTAGTAATCTCTGTACTGAGGAATTGCTTTAGTTGTTCCAAAGCTTGACTTTTCAAATCTCTGACTTAAGTAGTCTCTCAAATTTATTTTCTTTACAATGTCAATATTAGCTGTGTAATGTGATCCACTTATACAATGAAAGCCATAAATTGGGTTTACAATAGAATGTCATTTGTGATTAGCCTGTGTAATTTCATTACTGCATAACCACAAATTTTGAGAATCTAATTCCAGAAATCCTTTGACTTGAAACCTTTGCTCATCTTATTACATACCAATGCAAAACTTCATGCCACAAGAAATAACTAGAGTACAAATTTCCGTGGATATGTACATGAATGTAAGCCCTTTAGCTGCATGTCTTTTTACATTTGTCCTAAACATCATGATTAAAATACAGTTGCCTCTACAATAAACTTATGAAGGCTTAATAAAAGCACAAAAATGTTGATGTTCACAATTAAATAATTTTGTGGATAAGCATATTAACATTACTATGCAGCTTGGTAGAGGAGGTGCTGGCTGGCAAGGCAAAGCACAAAGAATAAAACCCTTCAGCATGCTCAATTTATATTTCAGTCTCAAATTCAACTTATGTCTCAAGTGCAACAGTTTGATTAGCTTGATAGAAGGCTCCACCCCCGTCAACCATAACACCATATGAACAACCAACTTGAGCCAGTTACATCAACTATTTTTCAAGTTCTTGACTCAAAAATTGTTTCATAATGCTAAATGAATGTCAAATAAAGACCTAGCATACAACTTCATTTCCAAGATAGCAAAAACATATTCTGTGGAAACTTACCATCACGTTTGCGATATTCTTCTTCAGATATAGTGTATTTCTCCACCAATGATGTGTCTTCAAGCCAGCCACCAGAGGTTACAGATGACGGGTCAAGATCTATAACATGTAACCGATACCTTTTATAGAGAAGAGACATACAGGCCAAATGAAATCAATCAGAAAAAGAACGTACATACACAACAAAAAAAGAAATCAAATAAAACAAAAACAACCATCAGATCAATAAGACAGGTTTCAGAAAAAAAAGAAAAAAAAGTGGGGATATTTTGCAGTTAATATTAAATACTCAAAATTTCAAATTAACAAGCTAAAAAAGTTATGCAACTATTATGACATAACATTTCAGAAATCAGCAGTCAAAATTAACGAGGTTTAAGCTACAATGCCCAAGCTCTCAGCAGTTTTCCTCTACTTTGAAAAAGCTTAAAAGGAGACTAACCCATTAAGAGGAGAATAAAACCCAAGAGGTCTGGAATTATCGGTTAAATCTGAAACTTTAGAGTTTGTGTCATCATAAAGCTCGAGGCGCATTGAATCAACAGAAGTACCACATTTTTTCCACAGCTTATCTTTTACAGATTCCACACTCATCTATATAAAAAATAATTAAATAAATAAATAAAAATAAAATTATCGTAGAAAGAAAACAAGATTGTTCAAATGTAAAAGTATCGTTTGTGTTGATGGTGAAAACCTGAAGGGAAAAGCGAACATCAGCTGCGAAGGTTTTGATGTTAGAGTGAGTGACGCGTAAAACAACCGACTCATCGCCTTCGATCTGCTGCAACCGAGACGCCATTTCTTTGTGTTTTCACTTTACCCAATCAAATGAGAAAGGGTCCAATCAAAGTATTGTCTTTTCACGATCTAAGACAACTTTTTTAGCTGAACCCTTCTTCAATTTAACAAAGGTTAAGTAAAATGAAACGGCAATTAACGTTATATGCAGGAATAAGTAATAACCCGTATTTTAACCGTTGAAAGTGCGGGTCGGATACCCAACCCAACGGGTCGTGTTGCCATTTTCAAATTGTTAAAAGTTGTAGGTTTTAACAAAAACAGACACAGTAAAAGGGGTTTACTTAAGCAGAACAAAACAACACACCCGGCGAGAAAGTGGCCTTCTGCGTAGACGCAAGGCCAAGGAGCTGGGAGTGGGAATGCTAGTGCTTGGCTTCTGTTAATGATGGCCTCTTCTCTATGTCTCAAATCCTTCTTCACCTCTCTCTTCACTGATCACAATCACCAGGTGCGTGTGTTTCTTCTTTTCACTTATCTTTTGTTTAATTTCAATTCAATTTCGCATGTTTTAGCAAGCTTTTATGGACAAGAATGATTGGCCGTATGTCAATACGTTGCTTTTTATGTTGTCTTGTTGAATTGGGTTATTTCATTGAGGGAAGAGTACTTGCAAAATGATTATGTTTTGGTGTTTCTTATAGGGTTCCGCTCTTGGGAATTTCCCTACAAGTTTGGGGATCAAGAAAGAATTTAACTTTAGGGAAAACCAGTTGTTGTTTGTGAAGAAATTCAGTTTGAATTGTTCAATGGACAGAGACATGGATGTGAGCACTTCAGCTGTTGTTGATGATCTGGCAGAGTGTTGCAATGGTTTGTGTTTTGTTTTTTTCCTTTTGTTTTGTTCATGTTTGTTTTAATATGTGGTTTTATTGGCACTATTGTAATTTTGTTTAACATGACGCAGAAATGAGTGTTAAGGAGCCTAGTGTTTCGACGTTATTGATGAATTTCGAGAGTAAGTTTGATCCTTATGATGCAATGAGTATACCACTTTACCAGACAGCTACTTTTAAGCAGGTAAGCTCGATGGAATACTTTCAGTTCACATTTTGTCAATAGAGGTTTGTGTTTACCATAATTATGAAAGACAGAAGAATATTCTTGATTTTAGAATACAAATTATGTGCAATGTATGAAGTTATTTATTGAGGTGTAGAGAGAGAAGGGAGGTGGGAATGTAGGATAGAACTTATTTTGTAATTGTTCTTTTGGGAAGCTTGGCCATTTTCAACATATCGATTTTGGGATCCTTATAGTATTAATTTGTGTAGACTTTTTATTGTAGCCTTCAGCCACGGAAAATGGTCCCTACGACTATACCAGAAGTGGAAATCCTACACGAGATGCATTGGAAAGGTTAGGCTTTTGTCAATCTTTAGATTCTTTGATGCGTCTTTTTTCTTGTTAGTTTTCTTTTAATTTCTTTTCCTGATTTCTTAGCCTCTTAGCAAAGCTTGATAAGGCAGATCGAGCATTTTGCTTCACCAGTGGAATGGCTGCTTTGGCTGCTGTCTCTCATCTCGTTGAAAATGGTGCTTCTCTCTTTTTTTACTTTCCTTTTATAAAATTAAGTGTGCTTATAGTGTCTCTTTCTTTGTGCTATACTTTCTATGAATGTATTTTTCTTCCTTCTTCAGCTGATGGTGAATATTGAAATCTTCTTGTATGTTTTATGTTATTTTCAGGTGAAGAAATTGTTGCTGGAGATGATCTGTATGGTGGTTCTGATAGATTGTTATCGCGAGTAACTCCAAAAGCTGGGATTGTGGTGAAGTTAGTATATTTCTTGTTTTGAATGTAAAGTATTTTCCCTGATTGAGATAATTATGCTGGAAAATGTGCAGACGTGTGAATACAACTGATCTAGCTGAGGTTGCCTCTGCTATTGGTCCCAAGACAAAGCTTGTGTGGCTTGAGAGTCCGACCAACCCTCGGCTACAAATATCTGATATTCGTGTAAAATATTTTACTTTTCTATAATTATAATTCTTTTTTTTTTTTATGTGTTCGCAACTTAGGTTAGTTAACTGCTGGAATAATTAGTTGTTGAAATGTGCCAAATCTTACTATCAGCAGATGTGGCATGCTCAATTATTTATATATAATTTGTTTTAGAAAATGTTATCATGATATTCTGTTAAAATAAATATATCTTGTGTTGGATTTTTAATATAATATTTTGGAACAATGCAGTGGCCATGCATCTACCCTTCTTTCCTTGAATATGAGCATAGATTTTTAAACAGTTTCTTTATGATATATTATAATTTTGGTAGTGGCTTTTAAATATTTGTACTAGGTACTTTAATCTATCTCTCTTTGCTACGGTTATGGAAATACAGTAATTGGTTGTGGTTTTTAAATATTTCTGATGCTTTCTCTTTACTTTTCCAATTGTTGTCTTACTTGTAGAAAATTGCTGAAATGGCACATGAACATGGTGCTCTTGTGTTGGTCGATAACAGCATTATGTCTCCTGTGTTGTCACGACCACTGGAACTTGGTGCAGGTATCACAACATGTGGAGATATGTCTTCAGTTTAATGAACTGCTATTTTTTTTCTTTAAATTATTCTTAATTGTGATTGGTGCAACTCCTTTTCAGACATTGTGATGCACTCAGCTACTAAATTTATTGCTGGACATAGTGATGTCATGGCTGGCGTGCTTGCAGTAAAAGGGGAAAGGTTGTAGCCCTTCTCTCTGTACTTGTGCTCTCCTAGAATACTTACGTGAAGCATTTTGTTTTTCTATACTTTGGTTTCATTGAAAAAAGTGAGTCATGTAATAATTGTCATGAATATAGCATGTAGATTTGTTTAAAAGGATCGGTCAACATGTCACTTGTAGATCTAGAAGAACTGTGCTCCATCAGAACCCACACAAAAAACAAAAATAATATATATAGATAAAGAAAGAAGTGAATAACATTAATATGTTAATGACGACACATTGTATGTGTATTTTGAATATCAAGCATGCCTTGCTGCAGCAATTTTGGTCGAAAGTCTGCCAATAATTTGCTAATGCATTCTAAATCTGTGAGGTTCTTTTCTCTTTCTGAAATGAGTTTTTTTTTGGTCTAGGGTTTCTCCCCACTAAATTCTTTCTCTTAAATGTGTTTCCATTACAATTGATTGAAAATGTTTTCATTAACTTTTTTGACAAGAAGTAGAAAATTTTCAATTAGTTTCTTATGTTTGGTAAAATATCTATATACTGTGGAATAGTTTTCTAATCCCCAGAGTGGTACTTTTACTTATTTTAAAGTATTAATCTTTTGTAAACAGCATGCCAAGTGAAAGTCATTCTAATTCAGCTAGAATATTCTTTGTGGATTTTAGATTTGACATGATTTTTGAAATTTCCAATATTATTTCTTTTTTGGAGAGAACTTTTTGAATTGGATCCTGACTGTGGTTCCATATATAGTTGAGCTTAATGATCTTATAATATCATAAAATTGATGTTTTATTATCACATCCAAAACCACACTACAGAACTAAATAATAATACTATAAGTTTAAACAAGGAAATCAATGTGATTATCACTTCATTTTTTTTATTGGTGTTCAATAATAGTCTTCTTTTTCCGATTTAATTGCTTTCTACAACTTGCTATTGACATCTTGTCAATTATTTATATTCATTTTCCTTTCTAACTTTTTCCCACCATCTTTACATTCAGCTTGGCAAAAGACTTGTATTTCCTACAAAATGCAGAAGGATCTGGATTAGCTCCATTTGATTGTTGGATCTGTTTGCGAGGTATCAAGACGATGGCCTTACGTGTAGAGAAGCAACAGGTTCTGCTTTAGTCAACTCTGAGTACATTAGTCTCCTTGCATCAAATTATGTTTGAATAATGCTGCTTCCTCCCTTCCTTTAATCTTCTTTATTGTCCTCTAAATTCCAATATATGTGCAAGTTGAGTGTGGAATTTAATAAGTTTCATTTGTTTATGTGATGCATCTCAGTTGATTAACCATCAAATATGTTTGAATAATGCCATTTCCGACTTTTTCAGGAGAATGCACAGAAGATTGCTGAGTTCCTTGCTTCCCATCCTCGAGTGAAGAAAGTTAACTATGCTGGTCTCCCTGGTCACCCTGGACGTGATTTACACTATTCTCAGGTTATAGTCAAATAGGTGGATCTTAAATTCAAGTTTACTATTCCCAAAAAAATATCGTTACCATTAATACCTCATGCTTGTTCTTGCAGGCAAAGGGCCCAGGCTCTGTACTTAGCTTTCTGACAGGATCACTGGCACTCTCAAAACATATTGTTGAGATGACAAAGTATTTCAGTATTACTGTCAGTTTTGGTAATCACGCTTCCCAATCAAAGTATAAAAATGATTACATATCTTTTAATATGAATTAGTTTAAAGTTATGAATTAATACAAGAATCCTCATGAGCAAGTCAGTGATGATGAACGGCTTATTTTACCTATATGGTTGTATCAAGTGAGGGCTTGTTTTGATCTTCCTCAATTTCAAAAACAGTTGTTTGGCCTTTTTGGAAATCCCCTAAATTTTCTACAGATATTGCCAGACTTCTTTAGAATTTTTAGTGCCTCCTCAAAACACACCTTTCTGTCTCTCTCTGTTAATGAAGATGTCTTTTGTGTGAATACTATTTAAACAAACCCAACTGATATTTTGTCGTAAATTACAGTCTGGTGAACTTGTTTTTTACCTGAAGCTAAGATGCAAGTTTGTTACATTGTACTTGTTTCAACTCTCACTGTCTGGTTATCTTCTACATTTAGGAAGCGTGAAGTCTCTCATCAGCATGCCCTGCTTTATGTCCCATGCAAGCATACCGGCAGCAGTGCGCGAGGCAAGAGGTCTAACTGAAGATCTTATTCGTATCTCTGTGGGAATTGAAGATGTCGATGACTTGATTGCTGATTTAGACAATGCTCTTGCGACTGGACCTCTGTAGCTGCTTGTATACTCGCAATTTTTTGGCCTTCATGGACCTTAATTGAACAACACCCTTCAGACATGCAGAAGGTAGTTTACGTTTCTCTCTGGAAATGAGGCGCCAGAGCCAAGGCTGAGCGCCTCAGGAGGTGAGTTGATGCATAATATTGTAAACTCTTGGGAATATTGCATGACTTCTGTTCATATTCTTTCCTGAATCATCTAACTTATTATTAATTAATAAAACATTAAGTTTAATTTATAGATGATTTACTACTTGAATTCAACTTGAGAAGCTTTTAGATTGATTTTGTAGTTATGGTTTTGCTATACAGAGAAATTACTGAATTCCGTTTAGTTTAAAGCTTGAACGAAAAAATTTGTTGGTGGTTTGGTTAGAAAACGTACAAGAGTTTTTTTTATTTTTTTATTATTAAAGTCAAATTTATAAAACAGTGATTCGAAAACGTAAAATAACTTATTTTAAATTTTATATATATATACACTTTTAAACTACGACCAAAATATATAAATCCAACAGAAGATGCTCTCAAAATAGTCAATAATATGAAATTAATTTAAAGATCTTTTAATAGTTAATTTATAATAATGTTCTTGTTATAGAATTCATCGGTTTTACAAGATTTTTAAATTTCATCGATCCAATAATTTTGTACTTTATAAAAAAAATAGTTTTAAAGTGTGGAGATGTTGAATAAAGATGGTCGGAAGGGGGACATATTTTTTTTTTTTTTTTTAAATATAAAGTTTTGTGAATATCCACAGCAGTAGTCACATAATATAAAGTGGGTGGACATTTTTTTAAAACAAAAGCATATTATAAGATTCTTTAATTTTACATGTAAAAAGATAAGGTTCCCTTTCACATTATTAATATTATCACATATAATAGAATAAAACTTGAAGGAGCAGAGTATATTATTATCAAAAAAATTTATAAGGAGTTATATATATATATATATATATATTTTTTCCCCACATATTTCACACACTCAAACCTCTGCTGGAAGTTGTTGGACTGTGGTCTAAAATTTTCAACCCTTTTCAAACCCATTATCCACTTACCCATTGCACCCTCATTCGTTGGCCCATGGCCATCACTTTTTCGCCGATCTCACTAATTTACGGTTAGAATTACCCATTTTTGACATTAGAAATCATTATTGTCACTTTTCATTTGAAACCTCATCCGGCCTCATATATTTTAAAGAGATTTTAAACCATTTTACATTTTAGGATATAGATATTTTTTTAAAATTATTATAGCACTTTATTTAACCCATAAATTTTCAATTTGTTTCAAGTTATGGATAAGACTAACCGTTTTAGGACAAATAATTACCAGAAATTACGGTTAAACAATTATACTCTGTATCATCTAATAATAAAAAACAATTATATATCCACATCAGATGGTTAAGAAAATCCCCATCAATGATCTGATCCTCTTAGTGGGACCCCTCTTTAGCTAATTCCACGTGTCATCTCTCCATTTTCTACTCCCCACATTTATACTACTGTTCATTACCTCAAGGTTTGAGAAAAATCAAACACACCCAATGATTTCGGATAATAACAAATGCACCCACATACAGATTATTTTACGATAATACCCTTTGTCTAAATTTAACTAAAGTACAAACTAAAAAACTGAATTAAATAAAATAGAAGAGTGAAGTATAATAAGATAAAGAATAATTTTGAAATAAATTCCTTTTGGGAGTTTTATACAGTCTCCACACGGTAAAGTAATCAATTTTATAAGTGTATTTGTTAATTTTGGAAACCCTTGGGTGTGTTTTGAAATTATTACAAATCCTTTTTTATATTTCCAAAAAAATAAAAAAATAAGAGCACCTTGATCTGAAAAGAGGAAAACAAATTCAATTTGATCAAAAGCGTCTCTCCACTATCAAAAGCTAACCACGAAGCTTCCTTTCCTTCGTTATCCTTCTCTCAGATATCGTTGCTGTCGAATTTAGGTAAAGATCGAATACGCTATCTAACTTCTTCGCGTTTTCATTTCTAGCTAATCGTTGTGAATTTATTTTCAGTTTTTGTTTTTTTTTTCTGTTGAGCTGATTTGTGGTGATCGTGGCTTGTGATGTTGTGTTTGGTTTAGAAGTTGTATGAGCTGTTCGTGTTTTCGCATTGGAACTTGAAGATGTCGAGTGGACCGTCGAGAAGAGTCTCACGTCAAGATATACAGTTGGTAAGATGTTCAGCTGTTTGACTCTGTTTGTTAATCTTCTATTTTATAGAACTATGTGAAAGCAACTAGAACGGAGAATCATGTAATTTGACTGAATTGTTTTATTGTGATAGGATGATTTTAGCTGCTGGTAATTACGAATATTGAATTTGATTGGTTAAAAGAAGTTAACTTATAGTTTTGTGAAGATTCGAGCTCTAATTTCTTACTTTCATTCCAAAAGCTGCACTTAGTTTGGTTCTTTTCTGCGAGAGAACTTGAGCTGCTTACTTTCATGGCAATAGGTGGAGGAGGAGGATATAGGGGGCTAGCTTTCTGAAGAAATTATAAATTATTAAAAAAATGAATTTCTAGGTTTAGTTAAAAAATAAATTTAATCTTAAAATCTAAAAAATGCAATTAATTATTCTAATTGTGTTATACATTCTATCATTTATGTCATATGTTTTTCTTAATTGTTAGACAGAAGTTAGTTTTTAATTGATAATTTAAATATTTATATGTAATTTAAATCGGTTTACTACGTTTTAAATTTAATATGTGTTTGTATACTTTATACTTAAAGAGTATTATCTGATTCAACTTAAACTTTATATACTTCAAAGAATGTATTTATAATTTATCATATTTATTTTTCGAATTATATCGTTATAAGTAATATATGATAAAACGTAAGTATTGAATCATAAAATTTTAGTATTATTTTCCTTTTTTATTTTTATTTAACGTTTTTTTTTTTCTTTATTTAGTATCATCTTATAGGTTTTATTTTTGTTTATAATATAAAATTAAAGACATTAGGTTTATTATTTCTACTTTATTTTAGTTGTACATTTTTTTTTATTATTACTGAAAACTATTATGTAATTTAGCTGTACTTTAAAGAAAAAAAAAATTATAATTCAATGGATATTATATTAAGAAAAAACGAATAAGTTTATACACAAATAAAGGCGAAAGTGATCCCTTGTTTGTTAACCTTTTAAGATATTTTTTTCTTGGGCCTTATGACTCAAGACTGAGTATAGTTTTATTTTCATACGCTATTGGCAATATGACTAGTCTACGGCAAGCTCTTTAGGGTTAGGGTTTAAATGGAGATTTTGTCATAGAATAATCATATTGCCAATAGTGTATGAAAGTATAAATGGAGAGCAGCTGATCAGATAAGAGAGTACATCCCAAAACCTTGAGCAAAATAATTGTTGTTAACACTGGTGAAATAAATCTCGTGGTTGAGTTGTCATGCAATCAGTTAATCAACTCAGAATGGTTAATCAACTCAGAATAGTTAATCAACTCTAAACTTTCTTCTCTTACCTTTTCTTATTGATTTTGCGTTTTAAGTTTTCTTGTCAAATATGCATTACAAATCTTTATCTATCATAATTTTTGTGTAATGTGATTATTTTTTTGGTTTATTGATGTCTGATTTCAGGTTCAAAATCTTATAGAACGATGTCTTCAATTATATATGAACCAGAAGGAAGTCGTGGAAACTCTACTAGCTCAGGCAAAGATAGAGCCTGGGTTTACTGAACTCGGTAATTACTAAATATCAGTTTTAATGCTTTGCAGACCTAACCTCAATGCCCAGTGATAACTTGTCTAAATGACTTTATTTATAATTTTTGGCCCCCAAATTATTCTGGTTCAATTTTTTTTTTTCAGTGGTTGCTAATTTCCATGTATGTGTATGGTGACATTAATAATCTGTAATCAAATTAGACAACTTCTGAACTTTTTTCACTTTTTATGTCCTGTTTGATCAATATTTTTCTAGAACCATTGCTCTTTGCACCACAACGTCTTAAGCATTGCATGTTCGGTTGGATATTCTGGGAACTTAGTTTTTCTTTGACTTAATTATCGCATTTGTTAAAGAGTCAATATGTAACTTTTGTCTTAGCTTTATTCTACGAATAGATCAAATCTGTTAAGATTATTGTGAGCTGTTTATAGGCTGTATATTCTTTGGTTTTTAATATCTGTTTTCCATTCATTCTCTATCTTTCCAAATAGAGGGTTGATTAATTGAATGATAAACTGCAAAATTTATAGCTCAAGAATATTCAAGTTATGTAAAAGGGGAATCCAGGGATTGAAAGCAATGTACTTTCACATCTGGATTACAGTTTGAATAGTTTTGCATAGTTGTCTTGATCATTTTTGTGTTACAGAACCAAATTCAAAGTAGTGCATGCTTACTTTGCTTTAGAACCTTCCACTGTTATGAAGGGGGTCTTTTACTTGCACAAACTCAGAGGAGGTTGTTTAGAAGTTTTTAGGGATAAAAGTTCAGTGGTTGCGTAGAAGACATGATGAACTATCCTTTTTTTTTTTTCCTGGTTGTTAAAATGAGGCTTCTGGACAATTATGATTATGCAAGCTTCTTTCATTTGTTGTTGGACATTCATTTAAGTGGCTTTTGGTTCTCTCTTAAAGAAATTTTGTGTTGTATATTTGTCTCAAACAGCTAATGTTATTCCTATCCCTGTATGCTGCAAAGATTTTTCCCTACTCTAAGTTGGGTTTTTAATATTGAAGAATCCAAAGAAAGTACAGTGTGCAGTTTCTGGAAGGGTAGTGAAAAAAGTCCCGCAGCATGATGAGTTATGTTAATTTATAAACAGAGGATTTTTTTTTAATTTTCTTATTTGAGGCTTCTAATTTGGTTAACCATTTTCGTAGCTAGAAGTCTGAAAATGGTAATAGTTAATGCCAAGCATTCATTTGGTAGAAACAAAAGGCTTCTTATGAAGTTATTTAATCACCTAGCCTTATGAGTCTTGAGCGGAGCAGTATTATACATTGGATATCGGATGTGTTAATGTAGTGCTCAAGTGAATACAGATGGCTTTGGCAAAATAGTTTCAAGCTGCTAGACCCATGGCAGAATTAGTAATATAGTTGGAGTTTTATTTGCTGATTGCTTAAATTACTATTGTTGGATTGATTTTAACATCTAATGTTATTATTGTTATGATAGACAGTGGTCCTATATTATGTATATAGTAAATATTCGGAATAACTCTTTTACTGACTTTCAGCTACTGCTTGAAATTGGTAACCTTATTGCATGATTTTTTGTAACTCCCTTCTGAGTCTACAGAGATGGACATAAATATTACTTGTTCCTTATTAATGATTTCATTGATCAAACCAGTAGATTTTTAGGGTTTAACACTTTTTTTTTCTGCTGACTGGATGGACTAGATAAATTGTAATCTGGAGCTATATATTTCTGCCACTATCAGAAAGTTAGTGTTAACTTTGTTTCTCTCCTGTATTTTATTCTTTAATTCTCCTCGTCAGTTTGAAATTTTTCTTGCCTTGCAGTTTGGCAAAAGCTTGAAGAAGAGAATCGAGAATTCTTCAAGGCTTATTATTTGAGGTTGATGGTTAAGCACCAAATTGATGAATTTAATAGGCTGCTTGAGCAACAGGTGCAGTTAATGAGTCAAATTCGTCCAGCTGGAGTTTCTCCAATACCTAATTCCAATGGCTCTCATGTACCAACTTGTAAGATTGCTTTTAGCCATATTTAACATGCTTACTCTGCCTAATTGATCAAGGGCATGCTTTGCATTAGTGAAAATTCTATCCTTTTATATGTGTGCTTCTCGTAAGTCATAGGTAAAGCCAATGGTTCCCTTGGCATTCTGATTCATTTCTTATGGACATGTTTGGTTCATGATCCAATAACAGTTGTTAAGAACTTGCACATGATGTGGATGAATCTTTGAAAAAAAAAAAAAAAAAAAGAGTAAAAGTAATATTTGATGACTTAGTATAGTAGACTACATTTCACAATTTTATTTGGAATCGGAAACGTATTTTTAATATCATTATGGTTAAAAACATTGACTTGTATCCTTTGTTTTCAAAATAAAGAATTTCATTTGGATTGTAAAATAATCATACCCTAAGCTTCTATGTTTCTTATCCAAAACCTAAAAAGTAAAAGATCCAATCTTCTCAATATGATTTGAATAGAAAAATACCAAGTTTCTTCGAGCTACAATATTTAATTAATGATCACTGATTACTGAAATAGTTACAAAGGTAAAAAGAATAGAAAAGCATTCCCATAAATTTTATGATCTACCTTCATGGATTTGTTATCTGAATTTGCTCAGCTAAATCAACCTTGTCGAGTTTCTATGACTGAGTAATGCAACTTCATGCAATTTTTCCTTAGGAAAACTTGTGAAAATACTTCTTTGAAAGAAAATCTCGGATATACTATGCTGTAGTTTGCCAGATAACATGATACAATTCAGAAACTTTTATGGCTCCTTTGTTTCTTTTCAAAATCACAACTGATGTTACTGTCTTTGACAGTGCACCAGAATTCAGCATGCTATCCTGCAGAGCATTGTGGACCCAGTATAAAGCCAGAAAACATGCACCATCAAATTGGTTCTGGTTTACCTACTTCATTTAATAATGGAGGATTGTCATTGCGTTCAAATTTGCACTCTTCTGTTGACATGTCTGCCCAAGTGAACAGGATTGATGCCCAACCTAATATGGTTTCAACTCAGAGCATAGATCTGATACAAGGGATGAATGGGGGAATGATCAAATCAGAAGTGGGATATTCAGGAAGCTCTGCTTCCCCTTATATGTTTGGTGATGGCAATGTCCTGGAACCACGCCCATCTATTGCAGATGCATCTGTTACATCTTTTAGCAGTGTGGAGTCCACCTCTCAACCACTGAATGAATCACTTCTAGATGCAGACTCATCTTCATTTGGATTTTTAGGTCAGATTCCTCGAAATTTCAGTCTCTCAGATTTAGCCGCTGATTTTTCTCAGAGTTCAGGTTTGTTCTGTTAATGTATCTGGGATTCAATTTAAATTGCTTTGGAGTCCACTCAATACTAGGTCCAGTGCTCAAAAAGACATATTTTTTAAGCATTAATAGGATTAAATTCCACTTCTAATATTTCCAGATATACTGGAGAGCTATCCTCGGTCACCATTCCTAGCTACGGATAGTGATAATTTCCTGGATTCTCGTGAAAGAGGAGAACATCAAGGTGAGTTCTACCCTCTCCTCTTCTCTCCTCTCATCCTCTCCAAGTGCCTTCCCCTCAATTTTCGTATCATATTAATTTTTTTCTCAAACAAAGAAGGGGCATGATTTGGGGTCTTTGTCTACAGGAGATAACAAAAGGTTGGACACTATATCAGAAGGCCTAAGTTATGAAGATTTTGGAAGTGAATAGCCTCCAGAAACTGGTAAGGTTCCTCTATTTCCTTATATACAACTAATTATCTTTCTCTTTTAGTAGCTCTTGGGTTATTGATTGAGGCATCGCAATCTGTTAACTACCAAGCACACAGGCAATGATTTGCTTAGCAACTTCAGAGTTAATCTGTACCCGGGTGCTGTATTTTACTTACCAGTTTAGCTTTTTTTATTTTTTTTTATTTTATTAATCTTGAGCAAGCCTTGTGATTTGTGAGTAGGATGAAGTACAGTTTTCCTTGTTTATTTTATTGAACACAGTTTCAGATACTGAAATTCATGAGATAGTTTTGCATTGAGGTAGCCATGACAGACTCACATGCATGCTTTTGAGTGTTGAAGTTAGTGTCGGCCCAATGCACTAGCATCTAGTATCATAGACACTCATCGGTCAACAATTGAGTGTTCGTATAGCACATCTGCATGCAAAAGTTGATTCTATGTCTAAAAGAAAATAAAATTAACGTTGGTACCTGCTTTTTCAAAGGAATATGTCGATTATGATCTTTATGCAAATTGAAAAATCTTCTTTAAGAAACAACCAAGTAATAATCCATTTGCATATTATTGCACTTACTCTTGTGATCTATTGCTGCAGGTCCGAGTTGCACATATAGAAACAAGGGGGGTTGTATATAACATCTTATAACCGGAGGTGCTTCGCAGTTTGGAGCTGAATTCTTGAAGATGTCTTTGGGTTTGTATAAGTTAACTGACTGAATTATGTAGTGTCAAGAATTTTTGCGGATTGTTAAGAAAATAATTAAACTTGCTGGTAATTGCTAATGTTTGAAATTTATTTGTTTGTTCGCCTTTTTTCTCTGTTTTTCGGGTACTGTGGGTAATCTGTATTTGAAACATTGATCAAATGGGAGACTCTAATGGTAAGGAAACATATTGAGCCCAAAAAATGAGACGAAATAGATTATGTTAGTAAACCTTAGGTAGTTATATTAGAAGTTGATGACACAAATCTTGTTTATTTTATCAGCATTTTGTGTATTTCCAATGGTTGGTGGTAACAATGGTGTACATAGAAAATATTTTGTCATGACGTTATTATTTTTGTATTGTGAGATATCAATGAGATTTCTAATATTTCGTCTGTTTTGAGATGCAACTTGAAAACAAATGGGTTTCCGATTCTTTTTGTCCGATTATGTTGATATTAAATAATTAAATGAACGTTATAACTTTGGATAATGATTTTACTTAACCATTGGAATTTTGAATTTTGAAATCCAAGCCTGAAAAATTATAGCTTAATGCATTTTTACAGCTTTGATATTGTAGTTTTTAAGGGCAATGAAATGAAATTATGAAAGGGCTTTTCTTTAATAATGTAACATGATAGTGGTAAATCGTAAAAGTAACGTTTATGTAAGAGACATAAGATTTTTATCTCCTCTAAACTTGTTAAGCATCATAGTAATCTAATTATTTGAATTTGAAGTTATTTGGTTCTGACTAGGTCTTTTTTTAAATGGTAGATAATGGATTAGGTCTTTTAAACTTAAAATCTACCCCCACCAAATGAGGTAAATTAGCCTATCCTTTAGTGAAATTTTAAAAAATAGCTCTTCTTAGTTTTATCAATAACCCATCTGAAGAGGGAAATTTGTAATCTTATATTTTACATTAAATTAAAAAGTAATTTTATTTTCTAAAAACCTTTTTTTTTAATCAATTGAAAGATTCTATCAATTCATTAATTAATCGAAGATACATAATATTAATTAAATATGATACATGGAAGAATTCTATTTAAACTTCATTATCTTATTTCAAATAAACTGTAGATTGTAACAATTTTAATGAGACTAATATTATATTTACAATTCAATCTTATAAACTTTCTCTCACAACTCTAATGTGACAACTTACAATTGGTTAGCTCGCAAATAAATCTCACCTACTCGCTATGGGTCTCGTCTACCTATTTGCAAATTGACCAATTGCGAGCTATTACACCACGAGAGAGTTTTTAAAATGGAGTTGTGAACTAATCTTTATCCTTTTAATAACCACAGCTCTTTATTATTTTTTTACAAATTCATCCTTGGAAGGAGAGCTGCAAATAAAATTGGTGGGTTCATTAACATGAACTTTAAAGAATTTCCGACCCTAAAAGAGGAAAATGAAAATAGAACTTAGGATTTAGTTTATTTTTCCAGTAAAAGGAATAGTATGACAAGTCCAACTGCAGTATTTTATAATTCACTCCATCTTTGCAATTACACAGGTGAAAGAAACAGAACAAGAAAAGTTGGAAGAAACATGAAGTCCTGAACTGGAAGAGATGATTTCATTTTGCCACAAAATTTAATTTATTTACCACTTAAAACCAATGTGACAAGCTGCAAAGTTACAAGGAATTACCAAACAGAGCACCCTACAAATCAAAGAATAAGAAGTATAGAAAAATATTGAATGCCAAAACTTATCGCGCACACGTCAAACGGTCAAACCAAAGACAAATAGGTATAAAAGGGAACATTACACGAATTCGTCCCGTCCCGTCCTGTACCAACCCTACAAATTCTGAACTCTGCATCCATTTTCCATTAAACTTTTCTCTAGTTTTTGTACCCGCTGCCTGCCCGGCCCTTGCGACCTTACTCAATGCACCATTCAACCAGGCTGTTCCAGCAGTCACATATCTATCCACAACCCCCAAAAGAAAAATATTAACAATCTGGATTTATCTCATTCACAACGGCCACGAACACTTCAACAAACATTAGAAAGTTGAACAGCCAGCTCAAAATTAATTATAGAAACATTGTATAAAGATAAGATATTCATATTATCTCATAATTTTCTGATTTGAAAACTACATTTTGTGTTTGCGTGAATCTATGTCACAAAGCCTGTAATCAAGTTCAGCTATGCATCAGAGGGGTGTGTTAGAGTTTAGAGACTATTCTTGGACCCTTCCCAAGGTCTTTGGGTTTGTTAGTTTTATTCTCTCCAACGACTCTTTCTCTCCAAGACCTAGACATTTCAGTTTTGTTTTCAAGGGTTTTTTAGTTTTATTTTGGAAGGTTTAGTTTCGTATTTAGGGTTTTGGCTTTGTTATATAATTTTTTATAGTGAATTATAATTATGCTATTAATGAGATGATAAATTAAGGAGGCAATACTCAAATCGTGGCTTCACTTGCCCTAATTTGGTTGAGGTAATTATTTTTCTTTTTATATTTATTTCATGGTTTTAATTTGGATGGATGAATTGTGTTGTACAAACATGGTTTTAAGTTGTTCTATTTATTCTATTACAAGTGTGTACATATATAAGTTAACTGACTGAATTATGTAGTGTTAAGAATTTTTACGGATTGTTAAGAAAATAGGAGTGCTAATAATTAAACTCGCTGAATTATGTAGTGTTAAGAATTTTTCTCCGTTTTTCTGGTATTGCGGGTAATCTGTATTTGTAACAATGAAACATATCGAGCCCAAAAAATGAGACGAAGTAGAATATGTTATTAAAGCTTAGGTAGTTATATTAGAAGTTGATGACACAAATCCAGTTTATTTTATCAGCATTTTTTGTATTTCCAATAGTTTGGAGGTAGCAACAGTGTACATAGAAAATATATTGTCATGACATTGTTATTTTTGTCTTGAGACATATCAATCAGACGTCTAATATTCCTTCTTTTTCGAGATGCAACTTGAAAATAAATGGGGTGTCCGATTCTATTTTGGGATTATGTTGATAGTAAATAATTAAATGAATGTTATAACTTTGGATAATGACTTTACTTAACCATTAGAATCTAGAACATTACGTAGCACACTTGAATTGAAATCCAAGCCTGAAAAATTATAACTTAATGCATTTTTATAGCTTTGATATTGTAGTTTTTAAGGGCAATAAAATGAAATTACAAAAGGGCTTTTCTTTAATAATGTAACATGATAGTGGTAAATTGTAAAAGTTAACTTTTATTTATATAAGAGACATGTTAAGCATCATAGTTATTATTTGAATTTGAATTTAAACTTAAAATCTAACCCCACCAAATGAGGTAAATTAGCCTATCCTTTACTGAAATTTTAAAAACAATGGTGATAAATTGCTCTCCCATCTAAAGAGGAAAATTTGTAATCTTTTCTTATTATTATTATTATTTTTTATCACCTAGGCAAGTCAGTTTGCACGTATCTCCATTAATCTCTTAAGATTTTAGTACTGTTGGTCGGATAAGAGTCTCAATGACTACCCCTATTAGTGTTTGGAAGACTCAAACTCGAAGAACTTATAAAATCTCTTTTTGTTTTTTTTCCCTTCATATCACCCCGTTAAATTTGTAATCTTATATTTTACATTTAATTTAAAAAGAGTAATTTTATTTTCTAAAACTATTTTTTTAATACATTGAAAGAACGCCAATAAATTTATGACTCTATCAATTCATTATTTAATATTAATCAAATATAATATAGGGAAGAATTCTATTTAGAATTCATTATCTTATTTCGGATAAACTGTAGGTTGTAACAATATCACTAACCACCACCCTTTCTTATTTTTTACAAATTCACCCTTGGAATGGAAGGAGAGCTGCAAATAAAATTGGTGGGTTCATTAACATGAACTTTAAAGAATTTCCGACCCTAAAAGAGGAAAATGAAAATAGAACTTAGGATTTAGTTTATTTTTCAAGTAAAAGGAATGGTATGACAAGTCCAACTGCAGTATTTTATAACTCACTCCATCTTCGCAATTACACAGGTGAAAGAAACAGAACAAGAAAAGTTGGAAGAAACATGAAGTCCTGAACTGGAAGAGATGATTTCATTTTGCCACAAAATTTAATTTCTTTACCACTTAAAACCAATGTGACAAGCTGCAAAGTTACAAGGAATTAACAAACAGAGCACCCTACAAATCAAAGAAAAATATTGAATGCCAAAACTTATCGCGCACACGTCAAGCCAAAGACAAATAGTTATAAAAGGGAACATTACACGAATTCGTCCCGTCCTGTACCAACCCTACAAATTCTGAGCTCTGCAACCATTTTCCATTAAACTTTTCTCTAGTTTTTGTACCCGCTGCCTGCCCGGCCCTTGCCACCTTACTAAATGCACCATTCAACCAGACTGTTCCAGCAGTCACATATCTATCCACAACCCCCAAAAGAAAAATATTAACAATCTGGATTTATCTCATTCACAACTGCCACGAACACTTCAACAAACATTAGAAAGTTGAACAGCCAGCTCAAAATTAATGATAGAAACACTGTGTAAAGATAAGATATTCATATTATCTCATAATTTTCTGATTAGAAAACTATTGGTCATTGACTGGAAACAGAGAATCAGATGTTTATGTTTTCGTTTAGGAAGGAATCTTCAAACCTGCTTGTTTTGACAGCTGATCCAGTATCATTTATTTTTCTCTCCACTGCAAATATAGCTGCCATTTTTTTATCTGACACGTGAAGTCTTTCATCAACAGACTTCACTTTCTCATTAACTATTGGTCATTGACTGGAAACAGAGAATCAGATGTTAATGGTTTTAATTTGAATGGATGAATTGTGTTGTATAAACAGGGTTTTAAGTTGTTCTATTTATTCTATTACAGGTGTGTACATATGTATAAGTTAGCTGACTGAATTATATAGTGTTAAGAATTTTTACAGATTATTAAGAAAATAGGTTTGCTAATAATCAAACTTGCTGGTAATTTCTAATGTTTGAATTTTATTAGCTTGTTTCCCTTTTTCTCTGTTTTTCTGGCATTGCGGGTAATCTGTATTTGCAATAATGAAACATATCGAGCCCAAAAAATGAGACGAAATAGAATATGTTATTAAAGCTTAGGTAGTTATATTAGAAGTTGATGACACAAATCTTATTTATTTTATCAGCATTTTTTGTATTTCCAATAGTTTGGAGGTAGCAATAGTGTATATAGAAAATATACTGTCATGACATTGTTATTTTTGTATTGTGACATATCAATAAGAGGTCTAATATTCCTTCTGTTTTGAGATGCAACTTGAAAACAAATGGGGTGTCCGATTCTTTTTTGGGATTATGTTGATAGTAAATAATTAAATGAATGTTATAACTTTGGATAATGACTTTACTTAACCATTAGAATCTAGAACATTACGTAGCACAGTTGAATTGAAATCCAAGCCTGAAAAATTATAACTTAATGCATTTTTATAGCTTTGATATTTTAGTTTTTAAGGGCAATGAAATGAAATTACAAAAGGGCTTTTCTTTAATAATGCAACATGATAGTGGTAACTTGTAAAAGTTATAAATTGTAAAAGTTGACTTTTATTTATATAAGAGACATGTTAAGCATCATAGTTATTATTTGAATTTGAATTTAAACTTAAACTTAAAATCTAACCCCACCAAATGAGGTAAACTAGCCTATCCTTTAGTGAAATTTTAAAAACAATGGTGATAAATTGCTCTCCTTAGTTTTATCAATAACCCATCTAAAGAGGAAAATTTGTAATCTTTTTTTTTTTTTATTATTATTTTTTTTTATCACCTTAGTGTTCAAACCAGTTTGCACACATCTCAAATAGTCTTCTAGAGCTCTAGAATTGTTGATCAGATAAGAGTCCCGACGACTATCTCTATTAGTGTCTAAAAGACTCAAACTCAAAAAAACTTATAAAACCATCATATCATCCGGTTAAATTTGTAATCTTATATTTTACGTTAAATCTAAAAAGAGTAATTTTATTTTCTAAAACTATTTTTTTAATACATTGAAAGAATGCCAATAAATTTATGACTCTATCAATTCATTAATAAATATTAATCAAATATAATATAGGGAAGAATTCTATTTAGAATTCTGAATTCATTATCTTATTTCGGATAAACTGTAGGTTGTAACAATTTTTCTAACCACCACTCTTTCTTATTTTTTACAAATTCACCCTTGGAATGGAAGGAGAGCTGCAAATAAAATTGGTGGGTTCATTAACATGAACTTTTAAGAATAAATGAAAATAGCACTTTGGATTTAGTTTATTTTTTAAGTAAAAGGTATGGTATGACGAGTCCAACTGCAGTATTTTACAAGTCACTCCCATCTTCATTTTCCTATGAATGCAGAAATAATAATGCTTTCATTTGCTTCGCAATTACACAGATGAAAGAAACATTAAGTCCTGAACTGGAAGAAATGATTTCATCTTGCCACAAAATTTAATTTCTTTACCACTTAAAACCAATGTGACAAGCTGCAAAATTACAAGGAATTAACAAACAGAGCACCCTACAAATCAAAGAATAACAAGTATAGAAAAATATTGAATGCCAAAACTTATCGTGCACACGTCAAACCAAAGACAAATAGGTATAAAGGGAACATTACGCGAATTCGTCCCGTCCTGTACCAACCCTAAAAATTCTGAACTCTGCATCCATTTTCCATTTGATAATTTGAGCAACATGGTTGTTGAATGCATCAATGTAGAAAGACTTAACAAACCGACTTTTTGGTGAACAAAATATCCGATTTACACAGCAATTGGTGGATCCTGCGTATAACAAAATGTTATGCTCCTCTAGCAATGAATCAAACTACAAAAATATTGAAAAAAATGAAAACGTTAACAGAGGGAGAAACCCACCTTGGCGGTTAAGTTTGACACAGCCACATTAAACTTTTCTCTAGTTTTTGTCCCTGCTGTCTGCCCGGCCCTTGCGACCTTGCTAAATGCACCATTCAACCAGGCTGTTCCAGCAGTCACATATCTATCCGCAACCCCCAAAAGAAAAATATTAACAATCTGGATTTATCTCATTCACAACTGCCGTTAACACTTCAACAAACATTAGAAAGTTGAACAGCCAGCTCAAAATTTATGATAGAAACATTGTATAAAGATAAGATATTCATATTATCTCATAATTTTCTGATTTGAAAACTATTGGTCATTAACTGGAAACAGAGAATCAGATGTTAATGTTTTAGTTTAGGAAGGAATCTTCAAACCTGCTTGTTTTGACAGCTGATCCAGTATCATTTATTTTTCTCTCTGCTGCAAATATAGCTGCCATTGTTTTGTCTGACACATGAAGCCTTTGATCAACAGACTTCACTTTCTCATTAACTACTGAAATTCCAACTGTCAGCTTCTCTGTAAGTCCAACCCTTCGGTCAAAGGAAATAACCTTTGCTGATGCACTGGCTGTCAACTGATGTTTCTCGTCAAATGCTTTAGCCTTGTTCACTGCATCTTGCCTTATTGCTGAGCCTTTTGCCAGCATATTCGTAACAACTTCTTGTGCTTTGCTAGCATAAATTCTTCCACTATTAGATGGGCTTGTTCTAGCCTGATAACAGAGACAAATTAGACTAAGATCACAAAACTCAAAGATAACTTTTACGGTGCAAATGATTGACAATGAGTCAGAGGACTCTAACGAAAGCCAAGTTGATTTGAGCACTATAAATCTATAGATAGCTGGCATCCTATAACATAGACGGAATAATTCAAGCACAAAAAGTCAAATGTATTCATAAAAAAATACAACCATCATTCGCTTTAAAGATGGCATGACATATATGAGAACTTTTTTATTTTTATTGTTGATAGGTGTTTTTTTATAGTGGATCAGATTATGCAGATTTGAAGACTAAAAAGTTATTTGCTCAATGACTTAATCTTTAAATTGCCATCACAAGGCAGCCCAATATTAAAATAAACAAACTCCACATTCTAGAAATCAAGCTTATGAACAAAATAGTCCTGCAGCATTCCAACATCCAGTATCTGTTTAGTACCGAATAATACTTTAAGTTTATGACACAAACTTATTTTAATTGACATTCTTAACAGCAAGTAAGCTCCAAACTGGTGATTTGTGGTACCTCATTATATTCAGCAGGATTTACAGATACATCACTGTCCACCACTGTTATTACCTGCATGAATAACACTCCTGAACAAAAGAAGTTTGGCTTCTAAACCAGAGACGGAATATGAAAACTTGTAATCAACTTACATGAGTTTCAAGGATGGGCACGTAGTTTTCAACTGGAGTTATGCTTACAATCTGGTCTACAATTGTTGCTCCCTGAAGAAGATATACACAAGTTTTTCACTTTCCATATTCATGCTATGCAGAATAACTTTATATGCACAATAGCAAAGATTCCGAATCACAAGTGAAAGTCTGCCCAAGTTAAAATGAATTTCTTAAAACTTCTCAATTTGTGACCTAGTAAATGAGAACGAACATGGATAAAATGTTCCACGGCCAAAGAAGTCCTGAGTTTTATTTGGTAACTCTAAAATAGCAGCATACTCCTATACTAGTTATACAAACTTGCACTACAATTAAAAGACTAAATATGTCACAGTTAAACATACAAAAGAAACTTCCTACTGTTACATATAAATGAGAAAACTGAAGCATCACATACCACACAAACAGTTTCCTATTGTTTTCACAGATTATAGGCAATCAGATAAAACCACCCACCGGCTCCTACCCCCAATATAAGAAGCAAGTTGAAGTCAATTCTAATTGCATAATTATCTTGCAATTTACTTATTTTAATTTGATTAATCTTAATGATTATGATTGATTTGATATTAATGAAGCAGGTACAGCTACAGCCTGTACTGGAATTAAATAAAGAGGTTCACTTTAAAGGGTGAAGTTAAAGTTAAGTATTCAAGTCATTCTTTCACTAAATTGCTTCAAGCTCACTTGAAAACAAAAAATAAAACTGAATAAAACCCACAAATTTAGCTATATAAAAACCATATTGGGGATACACACCGATAATAACAAGGCAATTTCAAGCGCTTTAGGGTCCTTGAATGTAACAAAAGCTGTCTTTGGCTGTCCAGATTCTCTACACACAAAAAGCAACAAAACAATCTTTATTAGACTTTACTTTCCACTTCATTTCTCCCGCAATGCAATTAAAAATTAGCTTAATAACATAAAATTTCCCCTTCAAGTTTCCATAAACAAACCCACCAAAAAAAAAAAAAAAAAAAAAAATAATCACAATTTCTAACTTTTCTTTGCTATACAAAAATCCGAAAATTAGTATCAATAATACCCATAAAGTGTACTTATTTTTTTTCCTTTTGAGAAGTAAAAAAAAAAAAACCCAGATCCAAAACTTCGTTTTCTTACTAATTTAACTTTTTCTTGGCAACCAAACACATAATTAAAGAAAAAAGAAAAGAAAAAGAAAAAAGAGTTAAAACGGTGTGAAACACGCAAGTAAATATAAAATACTAAATTAAATAAGCACGTAAAGTAGCGTACCGTTGGATCTGAATGAGTTCAATATCACCAGAGAAAGAGAAGAACTCGTGAATCTCTCTTTCAGTAGCTAGATCTGAAACATTCTTTACTTGAACCGTTCTCGTCTGTCAACAAACAAAGCAAAAGAAAGAAAAAAAAGACAGTGGTGAAACAAATTGGTTATGAAATCTTTCTAAGATGATTAAGAAGAAACCAACAAAAAAACTAACCTGCATTGTTAATGTGTAGAAGCAGCAGTTGAAAAATAGAGTGGCGCAGGATTGAGTTGTTTGGTAGAATGGAAAAATAGAGAGAGAAATTAAAACTAACAGACAGGTTGGAGCTTAGAGGAAAGAGAAGGAATGTGAGCAGGAGAATTGAAATGTATGTACTTTCATAAATGCCCTCAGCCATTTTGTTTTCCCATTTTACCCTTTCAGGCAGCTCATTAATTTTTTTTTTAATGCTTATTTTTCATAAATATTCCTAGAGTATGAATTTATTTAGAGGCTCAATTCTTTTAAGGTTTATTACAGCCCCTTGTAGATTTTTTTGTTTTTTTTTTTTTGTTTTTAGTAACCAAGGTGTCCGGACCAACTTACCACACCTTAATTAATCCTTAAGGGAGACTAGTACAGCACCCAACCGTTATGATCTTCCACTTAAATTACAGATGCACGATCCTCCACTTAAATCGTAGATGCACGGCCTCATTTAAATTGCAAATAGATAGGGAATATAATCTAAGATCGTGTGTCTATCCATACTATTTATAATTTGTCCAAGTCATCTTAGCTTGCAAGATCATTTAATCTTATGGACACTTAAGGGTTTCGGAAACTATGAAAAACCTAAATATAATTATTGAAAATGCTTTGAAAAAGAGGATTTTTAATAATTTAAAAACGGGTATGAAAAAAATTGGGTATTGTTCATATTACACAATCTTAAAGGTATATGAAAAAAAAAAAAAAAACCTTTTTTGTTTATATAAATTCTTTCTAATTTATAAAAATAAATATTGAAATTTGAAGGTAGATATTACACATGACATGTATAAATAATAAATATAATTATTGACTAAATGATTTCAAAATTTAATATCATTAATTGTACCAAGCTAAAGTCAATACTCTCATTTAATAATGATGGATGAATAAATAATTAAGTGAATAAATTATGAGAACTTGCTTAATTAAAAATTTTGATAAGTCAATGTATTATCAAAATAAATAAAAATATTTTTCACAATCAAAATATAATAATTTGATTAATTAAATAGTTAGCATAAATGTGAAAGGGTAAAAGAGTAAAAACAAAAGCCTCCAGTGAAATGATACTTTTCTTGGTCAATATGTGGGAGATATCTTGAACTTTGAGCGCCGACCATGACCTTTGGTGGACTTGTATACGCATGCAGGGCTAATTCCTATACTCTCCCATAGTTTTATAAAATAACATATAAACCCCTTTAGTGCTGGAAAATAACGACAATACCCCCAAAACTCTTGGTTGGTTTCTAGGACTAAAGAGGAAGACTGTCGTTTGAGAAAACCTCGGGGGTGCTTATGTTCTTAACCCAAGCATGCATGAGTCTTGCTTTTGTTTTGTGTTTTCATTTCAAGAAATTATTTTACTTTCACTTTTTGGCTTTATTTTTTATTGCTTTGTATTGTCTCTATGTAGGTTTCATCTCATGCGTGAACCTTATTTTATTATTTGCACAACATCATGACATATTCTTAAAATATTTCCAATTTGAATAAGGTTGGTAAGTTACTTTTAGGAAAAAAAAGATGTTAATCCACTAAGTGTTCTTATAAATACTTTGAAAAAAAAAAAAAAAAAATTTTAAGAAACTTTGATTGGTTTATAATCGAATGTCATGATACAAACGACAACTATGTAACACATGTAACATCCATTTGATCAATATAAATGTATTACGTTACGACAAAAGACATGTAAATATCTCTTAATTGGTTGAATGCCGATGCATATATTGTACAAAATATTTTTTCTTTGTCAACACTCAACAAGGATATGAATGAGAGTATATTATGTTAAATAATTTTTTTTTTTTTTAACATAATATCTCTGGTTGTTGAGTTGGGATTATATAGGCCTCAAGTTCCTGGAAATTCTCTTCCTCATTTCATATCTACAATCTTGACTTTGTGCAACAAAATGTCTATCTCAATATTATAATGTCGCTTCTTGTAATTAATTAATCTCGGAAAACTTCACAAACTTTTATTCTTTAAATACCTGTGTATATAAAATTGGTATATCTTATCACTTATTTGGTGATATTGTGCTGTTTTTGATAACACAAGGTTTATCAATATGCAAGATAAAAAAATGAAATAAGAAAATAAGAAGAGGAGTTAACTATCATTGAATGGTTTGATGGTAAAAAGAACAAAAAAAAGATTTAAGTTTAAGTGGTTTTTCGAATTTGAGTGGACTAGTCACGACTTCTGATCGGAGTGGCCGTGAGAGCTCGTACTCGACCGATAGTTTCAAAGTCCAATCGAGGTTTGCATTAACTGATCCGAACACCTCGATCATCCAAAAAAAAAAGAGAAGTTAGAAATGAGGTAAGAAATAGGGAAATAAATAAGGTGGGAATTATGTTTTTATTTGCAGTCCAGTCCAGTCCAGTCCATCCCTTACTCTTTACCTGTTTTTAGTGAAATTAGTGCACGTGGTGCACGCAGTCACTTTCATTTTATTTTTCAAACCATGTGGCCTCAAAATAGTTGATTTGTAAGGATGGTTTTGACTAAATTTTTTATTTCTATTAAAGCAGAAAATTTAGCCAGGTATTAAGATAAATTCCTACTTTTAATTTATTAATATATAATATTCAAGAGGTTCATTATTTTTTCTATCCTACTTTATAGACCAATTTTTGTTCAAACGTCAAATTCTAACCCAAGTTTCAACATATTATTTGTTTACCATACAGAATACAAAGTCACCAACTAACATGTGACATGCTTCTAACTCTTTCCAAAGTAAAAACAATAATTCCAAATGTTTTATAGCATTTTTCTTTCTTGTTCACCAGGGGTATTCGGGCTAGCTGACACGTACCTCAACTAATCCTTTGAAACCTTAGAACTGTCAACTGGATAAAAGCCCTAGTAGCCACCCTTATTAGGGCATGAGAAAACTCAAACTCAGGAGCTTATAAAACTTTTTTTGCTCTTTTACCATTAAGTCACTTAGTGATGGTTAACATTTGTAACCAAAAGTTGGAAATTGATCTTGTACTCTCAAAGATTGTTTTCTCAAAAGATTAATACACACAATTTTTTGGTTTCTCAAATTCGAAAAATAGAAAATCATTCTCGAAAACAATTAATGGCCCTAAATTTTGGAAGCAATTATGTGGAGCCTTAAATCCTCTCCTACTTTTGAATTGTCCAAATCAGTGTTCTAAAAATCAGACTGGACCAGATAATCGGACCGGTTTGAATGGGAATCGACGTCATCTCTAGTCCGGTTTCTCCTGAAAACCGATATTCTTAATCAAACTAGATTGAGATGCGGTTGGACTGTCAAAATAGGGCCAAATCGTGGTCAAATCGCGAGTCAATCTCGTCAAATTCCGGCATCATTCGAGGGAGATAACACTACCATAAGACTTGACGGCATCTCCACGGCAAAACCCATCCATTTTCAGTGGTCGCCGTCTAGCCTTTCGTCACTTGCCGTCCACCTATTGTTCACGCAACTGTTGGACTTCCTTCTTGATGCTGGCAAATTCCGACGCCATTAGAACTCCCTAACACCACCATAAGGTTCGATGGCACCTCTATATCAAAAGCCCCATATTCCAAACTTCGATTGGCTGTTGATCACTGTCCACCTATTGTTCATGCAATCGTCGACCTTCCTTCTTGATTCTAAAAAATTCCGGTATCGGTAGAACTCCTTGACACTACCATAAGATTCGTCGGAACCTATACATCAAAAGCCCCATGATTCCAAACTTCGATTGGCCGTCGATCGTCGTTGCCGCACCACTCACCAATCTCTTCACGCGACAGGGGTGTTTTGGATAGATTTCAAACCTTAAGGGAGTCATGTGTAATTCTTTAGGGGTGTTCTGATGAATTTCAAATATTTAGGGACTAAAAAAGTTTTGCAGTATACGATCCAACCGGCCAAACAGAACCCTCAAACAGGTGAAAGGCCAGTCCGGTTTTCAGAACATTGGTCCAAATGAGAACTTTATGTAAGAGTTGAAAACCCAAAAGGAGAATTGAAAATTTATCTGATAGAAGAACATTTTTCTCGTTTCCTGAATCTAAAAAATAAAAAAGTCATTCTCAAAAAACAATTAATGACCTAAATTTTTGCCACATAAATGATACATATTAATTTAATGTGAGAAAAAGAGAAATATGCTTTGATATAGAAAACAATCCAGAATACACTGATTTTTTTAACATCGATTAATTAAGAAAAAAAAAAACCCTTATTTACTGTCGAAACAAGAACTTTATGTAAGAGCGGAAACGCCAAAAGGAGCATCAAGAATTTTTCTAATAGAAGAACATTTTTCTTATATCCTAAGCCCAAAACAACAGAAAATCATTACCAAAAAAACAGTAAATGATACATAGTAGAGTTAATGGGACAAAAACAGAAATGGTTTTAGGAGTATAAAAGAAAGAGAATGGGCATTGAAAAGTTAGTAAAAAAGAAAGACCAATTTCATAGTCATAGTCTACATGGAAATCCATATTGTTTATGCTACAAAACAAAACTCACATGGGCACATGTACAGTATACTTTTTCACTTTCTGTGCTGCACACCTTTGAATCCCACCACCTCCACCAATAATTTCTCTGATACTTTCTTCTCAAAAGCTAAGAAATTTCTCTTCCTTCTCCTGCAAGTAATCCCTTTTAAGTCACTCACACCTTTCATGGACTTCACGTTCATCTATTGTGTGTGGGAAAACTTGAAAAGAAAAATCTTTTCTTTTGCAGAAGAGCGAGATGGGTTCTCAGAGAAATGAGGGTTCTGGGTTGTTGTTACCTGCAGCCATGGTTGATTCACATGAGAGAGATGCAATTGTGGCTAGGGAAGCTCTTGAACAAGGTGATGTTAATTTTAAAGCTCTTTTTGAAATTTTTGTGGGCAGGAAATCAAGTCATATTGTCCTCATCAAACAAGCTTATCAGAAATTATATAAAAGGCAACTCGACCAAGATATTGTCAGAATTGAACCCTCGCATCCCTACCAAAAGGTTAGCCTGTTTATCTTATCAGACACTTTCCACCACTTAAGACTGTTTGTGGTACTCTCAAAAGCGCTTTTTTACAGCCATTTTTTGTTCCTTTTGATCTGCTTTTGTGGAGCGCTTTTACAAGAAATGTTTTTGATTAAAAATTGGTGTTTAAGAACCATGTCAAGATTCAAGAAAGATTGCTTGGTCATTGAATGGTAAATTAGGTGTGAAAATTGAGGACATTGTTGAATATTTTAATGGTGAAATGGAACAGATTCTTGTGGCCCTGGCGACGTCACACAAGGCTCACCATGCGGATGTTAGTCAACATATAGCAAAGTGTGATGCAAAGAGGCTATATGAAACAGGGGAGGGAAGTCCAGGAGCCATTGAAGAAGCTGTTGTTCTTGAGATTTTCAGTAAAAGGAGCATCCCTCAACTTAAGCTCACATTTTCTTGCTATAAACACATCTATGGACATGCCTATACAAAGGTAATTAACATTACTTCACCATCTTCACTTATCTTTTAATGGTTTCTTGTGCTAATTACCTTTACATTGTCAGTCTCTTAAGAGGGGAAATTCCTCCAAGTTTGAAGATTCTCTGAAGATGGTTGTGAAATGCATACTAAATCCACCCAACTATTATGCTAAGGTAAACACAAACATCTAAACTTTAAGGAACAGCGGATCTCCATAAGTTCTGATTATATGCATATTGGTTTCAGAGATTGTATGCAAGCATTAAGGGGACCACATGTGATAAGGGGGCCTTGGGGCGTGTGATTGTGAGCAGAGCTGAGATAGACATGGACGAAATTCAAAGGATTTTCAAGAAGAAATATGGAATGGAACTAAGAGATGCAATATGTGAGAGCATTCCATCTGGAGATTACAGAGATTTTCTTGTTGCTTTAGCCACAAAAACAACTTCAGTTTCATAATTTCCTTGATACTAGTAGAGGAATATGTTGATTGTAGCATGCAGAGCTAGCTAATCAATTTAACCATTTTACTGAGTTTTGAGTGCTTTATTTTGAGTTTTTGATAAGTTCAAGCAAAAGCGACATTGAAAACCCATAAAAAAAAATGTCAGGAATTGTTTTAAGGGTATTGAATATAATTCAAATATGGGGGCTTACCATTTACCAATTGACAGCAAAAACTTAAAAGATGTCAGGAATTTCTTTAAGAGAAAACGACTTTTTCCCACCCAAGGTTTGCCTTAATGTTACTTTTTCACCCAAAAAATTTCAAAATACCATTTTTTCACCCGAAGTTTATATTTCGTTACTACCTAAAGCCAATTCTGACTACAAAAATTATCCCTGTTATCACAATTTGAACTTTCAGTCTCCTCTCTACAAAACCCCTCTTACTCTAACACAAATTTTTCACCAATTGCCGGCCACTATAAAGCTAGAGTTTCCTATTCTTAGTTGATTTCAAAGATAAATATTCAATCAGTCACCACCATTCGATCCACCGGCCTCCACTCTACAAAACCCCTCCTACCCTGGCTCTTAGTAACTCCCTGAACGTCAACTGAGAAAGTGAAGTGTATTTTGGCTATTAATGAAATATAAACTTTGGGTGGAAAAATGGTATTTTGAAACTTTTTAGGTGGGAAAAGGTCATTAAGGCAAACCTTGGGTGGGAAAAGGCTGTTTACTCTTTCTTTAATGATATTTCTATTGAATAACATTAATATGAGGCTTGCTGACATAAAAGGAGCATACTTTTCCAACTAAGCAACCATTTTGGATGAGGAAAAGGTGCCTACAATAGGGTCCTTTTCCACTCTGTTTTGGTTTCTAGAATGACTTTTTACATCTCTCGATTAATTTATTTTAGCTTGAACCCAATTTCCCATTTGAGAATTCAAGTTTATTGGATTTTGAACAAATATTCAGGAAAAAGATATGTCAAATTGAACTAATTTAACTACCTCTAGGTAGCTTGACGGTTCACTTATGATTTTTGGATGTATTACACGAGAGGTCCTGAGTCCGAATCCTCACGACTACTAATAAGGGGTAGCTACTGGAGGCTTACCTGACCATTAACTTCAGGACCCCGAGAGATTAGTTAAGGTGTGTATAAGCTAGCCCGGACCCTCCGGACACCAAAACAAAAACCAAAAAAAAAAAAAAATCAACTAATTTACAGACGTCTCTAATGTCTCTGTTACAGGCCCAAAATAGCCTATAGTCCAGATTTTTCTGAGCTATGAAGCAAAACAAAAACAAAATATTGTTTGTCTTGAGTCATGATTGGAGGAGAATATGAGAAAGGATGATCCAGGAACATAACCAAATCAATTCTTTTGGTTTAAAAAAGGAATTATTCTCTTTTAAACTGCAAAGAAACCTCAAATGCCACCCTATTACAAAAAAAACTCACTACATATAGACGCAACACCAAGAAATGGAGAAACATATCATTTCTTCTAGAATTCTTACTTCTTTTGAAGAAAAAAAATAAACAAAAACTAAGCTGATATAAATGGAAACTCAACGTTCTCATGAGGAGTTCGAACCCATGTGCAAATGGCAACAAGAGGAACACCAATCCATTCTTGAAGTCCATCTCCAAGGTATAGTACTATATTATCATTGAATACATCAAAATTTCATTGCCATTAATTTAGTTTCTTTAATTTCAGTATTTTTTTTTTTTTTTTGGTAGGTTTCAAGAAAGATCAACTAAAGATTCAAATCAGCAGTTCTGGTGTTCTAACAATCACCGGAAAGCGTCCTATCGATGAAACTAAATCGACCGGGTTTCACAAAACAGTCCAGGTTCCCAAGGATTGCAGAAAAGGGGGAATTCATGCAAAGTTATCTAGTGGTATTCTTAAAATAATAATGCCAAAGAAAAGTCTAGAAAGTGAAAAANTTTCAAGAAAGATCAACTAAAGATTCAAATCAGCAGTTCTGGTGTTCTAACAATCACCGGAAAGCGTCCTATCGATGAAACTAAATCGACCGGGTTTCACAAAACAGTCCAGGTTCCCAAGGATTGCAGAAAAGAGGGAATTCATGCAAAGTTATCTACTGGTATTCTTAAAATAATAATGCCAAAGAAAAGTCTAGAAAGTGAAAAACGAAGCCATGAAAGAGATGATGATTGTTTCGAAGAAGCCAAGGATCAGCCTGCAACCAGTACTGGAGTAGCTACATTGACCAGGATTAACGCAAGAAAATGCATGACTGCCCTGAGAAACTCAATTCGAAGGACTGGAGTGGATAGAATTACAGCACGGCGACTTGGGGTAGCGATTGGTGTGGTGGTGGCGGTGACTGTGGGAGGATTTTTAGCGTACAAAATTCGCCAGTCTTTTCATTCTTTTTAAGGACTAATTAACATACATTGTTGTATATTCATTTGCTTGATCCTGCTGTGTTCAAATACTGTGAAACTTACTGTTGGTGATGAATAATGTGTTGAAATGAAATGGAATGAGCTTCATTTGCCCTTTACTACTCATCTCCAACTTAATCAAAATCTTTCTCATTTGATTCCTGTAAACTCAAGAATCAAAGATCTCATAAGTTAGATTATCAAAATATGTGGTAAACTGAAAAGACGAAGTTGAATGGAAGATGAAAGCATCAGCTTTCTCTCTTAAATTTCCAGAGATTAAGACTGTAAGAGGAAATTTACTATTATTACTCATAAATTTTTCTACAATCATAAGAGGAAAACTTTTCCTTATAATATTTTCAGAAAATCTGCAAGTAAAGGGGTAAAAGTAATTTAAACCAACACTGAAGAACAGAACTAACGAGCATAACAGACTTAACTAACTTCTTATGACTTCCTAAAGTAATCTGGCTTGAGCTCAACCATCTAATTCTTTATGCTGGACTTTTTACTAGTAGTTTTCCCGGGAGGAAAAAAGAGTAAATCTAACGTATTCTGTTAGCAAACTGTAGAGAGGGAAGGTTTGAGAGAACTTTTAAACTTGCGGGTGTCATTGTGAAAAATGCAAACCTCAGGATAGGTGAGGTTGATTTTTCTCTTGATCGGATGTGTTGAGAGTTTACTCTAAAAACAATTGGCTTCTCTCAAGTAAATAACCTCAATTATGACTCAGTAAGAATAGGTGCATCTTTTATTTAGAGTTTTTAGTCTTTTTTGTTTTTGGTGACTGAGAGTGTTCGAGTCAGTTTGCGCATACCTCAATTAATTTTTCAGGGTCTGAAGTTAATAATTGGGTAAATCTCTAATGGTCATCCCTATTGACAACTGAGGAGAATCAAACTCATGATCTCTTGAATAATATACCTAAGAGTCTCTATTCTACCACTCGGCCACCTTGAGGTGGTTTTCTTTGTTCATCTAGTGATGAGAAGATTGGAATACAAATTTTTTTTTCCATGAAATCATTTAATCAACAAATTTTAGTTATTAGATTAAAGTTTAACGGTAATGTTTTTTTGAGTGTTTTCCAACATCAATGACCCATTAGCTTAATGGCTAGACCCTAAACACGTGCCTAAAAATTAAGAAAAGAAAAAGTTATAAACCAAAGTAGGAATATTGGCTTTCCCATTCAGGAGGAGAATGCAAAGAAGGATTGTAAGTAAAGAGTAAAGACCCTAAAACAACAAATATCCTTTGGGTTTCAAAAAGGAATAATTCCCCGAAAAGAAACCTCGTCATGAACAATCTGCCATTAAATATAAAAACCATATACAGGAACATGGAGGGACACATATCTTTCAGTCGAGATTTCCTTATCATATTCCTTCAAGAAATCGAAGATCAATTAAAGCTACAGAAATTCCTTGGCAAAAATGAGCTCTTACGATGATTTTGAACCCATGTGCAAATGGACAACAGAGGAAACCCAAGACATTCTTGAAGTGCATCTCCAAGGTACATTTCAAGAAAAATTAATGATTTTACAATAAATCAAAATTTTATTTCATGTCATCTGAATTTAGCTTTCAATATAATGTTTATTTATTTATTTTTTTTATTATTTATTTTTTTTTCTGGTAGGTTTCAAGAAAAATCAACTGAGGGTTCAAATCAACAACAATGGTCTCCTAACAATCAGCGGAGAACGTCCTGTGGATGAAAATCGAAGGAGCCGCTTTCGCAAAGAAATAAATCTTTCCAAGAATTACAACCTAGATGGAATTCGTGCAAAATTTTCAGGTGGAATTCTCTACATAACAGTGAGAAAGAAAACTTCTTCCATTGAGACACCACATGGTCAACATACATTAGCTCAAGAAAATGAAAACCCGAACCAACCAATTAATTATCAGGATAAAGAGACTAATGGTTCAGAACTTAAAGAATCAGGTAGTAAGGATAATAATATTGCAGCCAATGGAAATGGAAGTTCTTCGTTGGAGACGATAAGAAAGCCTACAGAAAGCGCAGCCGAGATAAAAAGTTCAATCACAGGGCTTAAAATGAGTGGGAAAACGGCACTGAAACTTGGGGCATTGGCGGTGGTGGTGGTGGTGAGCATCGGGGCCTTCGTTGCCTACAAATATCGCCAAGCTTTTCAAGTTGAGGATTAAACTCTTGATACAGAAGTCTAATTCTGGTTCTTAATTTTAGCTCTTTGAAACAAAATGTTGATAACAAATATTAACGTGTTGAAATGAAATAAGCTCCATGGGCGGACTCAGGAGATTCGATTCGGAGAAGAAATATTGCATTAATTAATTTATTGAAATTACAAATAATGATTGATTAATGCATAAATCTATATTTAAGACGTAACAAGATTATATACAAATGGTATATAATGAGTATAACAATATATATAATAAATGTACTTTTTTTAATTCAACTTAACCGGGGTTCTCCGGGCCAACTTGTGCTCATTTCAACCAATGTTTTAAAACCCAACCCGGGGTAAAACCCGGCAAAGCTTTCGGGTCCCGGGTTGACCGTTGACAAAAACTATTAAAATTCAGCAAATATACCCCTAAAAATTACCGTGAAGTCCCTATAGGTTTGAAATTTATCAAACACACCTCAATTGCAAATCGACCGACAACTGATTAGCGGCGGCGACACCCCAGCTACAACCCCAATCGTCCCTTGAGCCCATTTCTATCAAAATATACCCAAGATCTGGCTGAAATAGGTTCGATTTCGGCCAGATCCCACCGACGACGACATCAGCATTCCAGGCTAGATCCCATCGATTCGAGCGTCAACAACCCTCCCCATCAACCCAAAATTACTCCCCTTTTCCTCCCAACCAAAATCCACCCTGCCCCACCCCCGTTAGCCTCGTTAATCGTCGGAAAAATCTCATCATCGCCATTGCCAGTTTTGTTCGATTTTTGGTCGATTTACTCACCGGAAATCAACTTTTTCACCACCATTACATTCACTGGAAATTACTCTTCAAAAGCCCCAACATTCCGATAGTCAATTGTTCGCCGATCATCATTGGAAATCCTAAGGTATTGAGTGAATAGGAAAAATTTAAATCTGGCCCGTTGAAGCTTCCAAGTCCCGGTTGAACTGGTTCAACCCTGCCGGGCCAGGTCGGGTTTTAAAACATTGATTTCAACTAATCTCTTAGAGTCTTGGAACTGTCGGTCGGGCGGAGTTTTGGAACTGTCAACTAGATAAGAGTTATAGTGATAACCTATATTAGTGTCTGAGGGAACTCGAACTCAGAAGCTCACGAAACCTTCTTTTTAATTCGACTTTGATAAATAAGATTTGATCATTATAGAATTAGAGAAAGAATCTTCCTAGCTAGAAACAATTTGTAAAGAATTAAAACTAGAAACAATTTCCAAAAAAAAAAAAAAAAATTCCGTGGTGAAGTTCTAATTAACTCAATCTAATTTCATGTTGCCGAATAGTCAAACTCAGATTGCAAGAATTAATATACAGATGGAAAAAGATGGTTGCCCCAACTCTTTTCTTTCCTAAATCATACGGTCATTAGTAAAAAAATGATAGCTTTTACAAAAAGCCAAGCATATCATTGTCGTCTTCCATCGATCCCCATGAAAAATTAAAGACATAAAGAAAGGAATACTTGACCATATGAAACAAGTAATTGAAAGCCCTTATAAAGACAAAAAGGAATCATTCTAGCTAAAAAAGCCTTTCAGAAATTTCATTGAACTTTCTAAACCCATAAAGATTTTTTTTTTTTCTTTTCTTTTCTTTAAAGTAACTGAGTATTCTCATAGACTGCTTTAAAATCTATAAAGGGATATCGATTAAAAAACTCTCTTAAGACAAACATCTGTAGAAATGTCTTCTTTCAAAATGATCAAAGAAAAATTGGAAATAATGCCTTCCAAGCAAACCGTTGAAGAATTTGAACCCTACTGCAAATGGCAAAAAGACGGAAGGGACACTATTCTTCATGTGTATCTCAATGGTATTGTATTCCATCCCTTCTGGTCAAGACAAAGAAGATTTTCAATTAATTCTTTAATCCATAGTGTTTTCATAACTAGTTTTCCTAAAGAAAATCTTTTTGTATGTTATATTTTGTAGGTTTCAAGAAGGAGCTACTCGAGTTTGATGACCCCAAACGTAAATTGACAGTTAGCGGTTACCGTATTTTGGATCAGTATACAATTCAAAACTTCACGAGAACTTTTGAAGGTCCAAAAAATTGCGAAGTAGATGAGAATAAACTAAAGTTTACTGGAGGTATTCTTTCTATAACCTTCCCTGAGAAGGATTCAACGTCCAAGGGTGCAATTACATCCATAACAGAATGGTGTTTCAATGAAAAGATTTGGAAATATGTAGAGAGAATTGGTATGGTGGGCGTTGCAGCATGTGTGTTGATCAATTGTTGTCTGTGCTGTAGTGCTTAAAAGAAGCTGAAACTTGAAAATTAAATATATGTTGAAAATTATAATGTTGTATATGGAAATAAACGTGAGGTTTAGTTGATTATGTTTTTTCTTTAGATGTTTACAAGCTGCTTGTTCTAATTTAGGTCTGTTTTCAAGTAAATTTATTCCAATAGAAATGGTCAAAAAAGTTGGGTCGAACTTCGCTATGTTTACTGTGATGTATGCTAAGAAAGAAAAGTCGTTTATTTTGTGAGAAAATTATCTAACATGCACTAAATAATATTTTAAGTTAAAATACGCGCAAGATATTGGTGATTACCAAAATAATAATAATAACAGCCTAATAGAAATTGTTATAGATGCTCAACAAGTTTAAGAGATGGATGTATCTTTTTCTAACATTTTGATTGCATGCATCATGGATTTGGATATGGATCACATAGATACGATTTCGGGTATAATTCAATTTGTATAATTGTTGAACTAACCCCATAAAAATGTAAAATTCATTTATATTAATAATTAATTATTTAAATTAATGATGTATAATTGCTGTAATTTATAATAAAAATATTTTATGAATTTAAATACGTAAATTTTAGTTATTATATTTGTAACAATTAATGTAATCAAACCCTAATTGTATGGTTGACGTACGAAGTGATGCAACAAAGATAAAACCCTATCCTAGATTTTAGGGCTTCTTTATTAGTTTTGAGGTACAACGTTTGGGTTTGCCATCCATTACTGCTTATGAGATTGAAGCAGGTAACTGCAAATTCTGATTTCCCAAGCAGAAGTTAATGTTATCCTTTGGCTTACACTGAAGAGATTCCAGGACTGAAAGGTCCTGATAGCAATTTTTGGGTATGTAAACCCCAGCAGAACTACAACCGTTCAATTGTCCTGATTTTGAATCAACAAACAATCACGCGGCCGTCAGGGAAGCGTCCTGTTGGTCCATCTAAGAAGCCATTCTGTATATAGGGCTTGAAATTTGCTGGGTTTTCAGGGTGGAGTTTGGGTAATTGTTGTTTCCAGGATCTACAGTGAAGTCTCCAAAGATGAAGAAGGCACAAGTCTTCGACAATTGCCTGATGAAGCCTTCTTACTGAATTAAAGAAATACAAACAGATTTCCTCTCATCTTTTCTTGCTGATTGACAAAATTACTCTGTGTCAACCAAAATCATTTTGAATTGAGAAGAATTCATAAGGATTGTATATGCCAAAAATTGTCTTGGGCCTTTACCATGCAGGCCTGATGCTATAGTCCAATTTTGGTTGGACCTATGTTAGAATTCATGTCATGGGCCATACACATGGCCTAAACTCATTCTCCAGACCGGGCATCATCATTGGCCCTCCTAAAGCCAGGCCCATCGGTCCATGTTAATTAAGACTCTTTCTATTTGAATTTTATCCTAATTCGTCCACGATTCCTTATCTTATATGAATTAAGACTCCTAATCCTGCTGGGACAAGTAAATCAAGATCTTTCATATTCATTAAACCTCTACCATTATAAACTTAAAGTCCTATTAGGATACGAAGATTCTACAACTACTATATAAACATTGGTCACTCCTCTATATATTTTGGGATTCGACATAAAATCTACTTAATAATCTTTAACAAATTCATTCTATATACAGAGTTCAATTTATTTTATTATCATTATTATTATTATTGATATTTTTTATGTCTTCTCTACTTGAGATTAATTATTGATATCTAAATAGTCACTAAAAGAATTTTTTTTTCAAGAATTTATACTTTTTAGTTTAGCGTTTATAGTAATATTTTACTGCATGGATCATGAAATAATTATGTGAAACAATATTGTGTTTTCTTATTTTAGAAGATTGTAGACATTATTGCAATATTATGTTTTCTTATTATAAAGTTAAATATTTGTATAAATAAGTGATGTATTCACAATTCAAAATAATTCAATACAATTAAGTTGAATTATTTAAAGATATCTCTTGGGTATACTTCAATCTTTTAGTTATTTCTTTTGGTCTCTTAAAGATATCTTTCGAACATACTCCGGTATTTTTTTTTTTTTATTTGCCTACTCAAACTCTGACAATTGTCTCTCCTCCATGTAAAAAGAGATGCCTAGAAGAGGAATTCTTGATGATATAAAGTAACTAAAGTCGTAAAATAACAAAAAAGAATTATTCTCTTCCAAGAGGAAACTTGAAAGAAACCTCTTGGAATTAATGCTTTGCCCATTGAAAAGAATTACTATATATGCCATTTTTCAAAGTGAATACTTAAAAATCTTTATATAGACATTCTGAGTAACAGCTTTCTTCAATCAAATATTGCATAATATTTCCTCCGAAATATTCTAATCCAACACAAAAAATAATGGTTTCCGAGATAAATAAGGAAAAATTCGAACCCTATTGCATATGGCAAAGGAATTGCAAAGGGCCAAACGACGAGATATACTACGATGTGGTTGAGATGCATCTCCATGGTATTGTATTTTATCCCTGTTTTGATCATCAAAAGAAAGGCACTTTATTTTTCATTATAGTTTACTCTTTTTCGGAGTTTACAGTCATCAAAATGTATTTGGATATTGCTGTCAAAGGATTAATTACGTATTAAATTTTACATTGTAATTTACTACTTTTTATTTGGTCAAGTTTTATTTTTTTAATATTATTTTATACAAAATATTAACTCATATAATATTTCGATATTTTTTTATTATAGGTTTCAAAAAGGATGAATACTGGATTAAACCCAAGGGAAAAATCCTAATCGTTAGGGGTGAACGTTCTGTGGATGAAAATACAAAGAATGTTTTCCAAAGAGATTTTGAACTTGAAAGAGTTCATGACGGTAATAAATATAATGCCAAGTTTACTGGTGGTATTCTTCGTATAGAAATCCCGAAGAAAAGATCGTTTTCAACTCTAGTTAGAAGCAGCATGAAGAAGCTCGCACTCATTGATCATCACATGAATCCATCAGAGGATACACTTGAATGGACATTAGTGCTATTAGTTATGGTGGCGGCTCTTGCATGCTTTATATGCAAATATCTTCCTAACTTCTGTAATAAGTTAAAAAATTAATTAAGTGTTAACTGGTGTATTGTATTTTTAACCAAAACTCTGAGGCTTCGACCTTCTTTTACATTCTTATATGTTGAATTGATGGCTTTGTTTTTACTTTAATATATATTGAATTCGTATTTGGTCAAATTAAAATATTGGTACTGTAATTGGCAAATATGGATCAGGTGATATACAAATTTGATGGAAAATATTGACCCATTTTGTAAAATTTGTCATAAATGGAAACCATATGAAAATTTAGAAAAGTATTAAGTTAGCTAAAGGAGATAAATTGGTGGACATATATATNTCCATCAGAGGATACACTTGAATGGACATTAGTGCTATTAGTTATGGTGGCGGCTCTTGCATGCTTTATATGCAAATATCTTCCTAACTTCTGTAATAAGTTAAAAAATTAATTAAGTGTTAACTGGTGAATTGTATTTTTAACCAAAACTCTGATGCTTCGACCTTCTTTTACATTCTTATATGTTGAATTGATGGCTTTGTTTTTACTTTAATATATATTGAATTCGTATTTGGTCAAATTAAAATATTGGTACTGTAATTGGCAAATATGGATCAGGTGATATACAAATTTGATGGAAAATATTGACCCATTTTGTAAAATTTGTCATAAATGGAAACCATATGAAAATTTAGAAAAGTATTAAGTTAGCTAAAGGAGATAAATTGGTGGACATATATATATATTCCAAGTAAAGTAATATTGGGTATAACTAATCCCAGAGTCTAAAGGATTTGTTATTCAGCCACAAAGAGAGAGGTATAGATAGTTGTATTGCAGAAACTAAAATTTTCCTTTTTCTCAGAAGTTTCACACTTATTAGTTAGATAACAGATGAGACTACTAGTATCACTTATTATTATTATTATTGAAGAACTCCTTTACAGGCAGGTTAATTTTTCTGAAAATTCCATATTAATGTTGGCTTTTCATGGATTTGAGAAGATACGTCTGATATAATAATGAAATATCAAGAGAAATTTTTGAAGAATTAATTTCAAATTTTGAAGTGTACAATCCTACTCTCAAAAAATGATAACATAATCTTATTATTTATTTTTTAGAGCTTCAAATGATCGCATGAATACATAAAAAAAAGCAGCTTATCCATGCTGCTTAATCAAATTAATAATGCAGAACTTTATTAATAAAATTAATTATTTTGACACAATCACTGAGGTTATTATGATGTTATCTCACACCATTATATCAAGGTGACCAAAACCATGACTGCCACAACCATAAGCGAAGAGGCAGATGACACAATTTTGAAAGCAGCCGAAGGAGCAGCACCCTCTTTAACAGTAATGGAAAGCTTCTGCCCAAGCTGACAATGGTTTTTATCACCGTTACCCTTACCGCAAATGTACCACTTATTTCCTGGAGTACTAAGAGTGATTACGTCATTTCCACTGGAAAGAGCCGAGTTTGATGAAGGAACTGTGCAGTTATTGAATTCAGTACCATTCACTTTGAACACATTGTGATTAGGAGGCGTGTATTTGAACACTGCAAAAAAAAAAAAAAAAAAAAAAAAATTATTATTATAAGGAGTCATGATCCATCACAAAATAATTTCTGTGATACTTCTGTCTGAAAAGAATGAACCAATGCTTTGGCTTTCAAGAAATTGATATTTACAGAGCATATTAATATGTTTAGGATTTGCAAAATTGAATTTAGAGATCGTTTAGAACAAAAAAGGAGACTAAATTTTGTATATTTCGGAAACATATATCATTGGATACGTGATGTATAGTTTTAAATAGAGTAAATGACTTTTTCCCACCCTTTGCCTTAATGACATTTTTTCACCCAAAAAGTTTCAAAATATCACTTTCTTATCCAAAGTTTATATTTTGTTAATACCCAGAATACACTTAACTTTTTCAGCCGACGTTCAGCCTGTTACTAAGAGCCAGAGTGAGGGGGTTTTGTAGAAAGGCGACTAGAGGTTCAAATGGTCATGACGGGAAGAATTTTCACCGTCAGAATCAGTCGAAATCAGCTTTGAATAGTAACGGAATATTAACTTTGGATGGGAAAGTGGTATTTTGAAACTTTTAGAATAAAAAGTGTCATTAAGGCAAACCTTGGATGGGAAAAAGTCGTTTACTCTTTTAAATAAGCAAAAAGGAAGAAAAAAAACTATAAGCTGATATATTTTCGATATCGTAATCTAATTGATTAGTGAAAATCAAATTATAACAATTTCAAAAAAAAAAAAAAATGTACCTAATGTGTCATTAACGTGAAATTCTTTATCCTTAGCCCAAGCTTGATAATCATAATTTACCGTCCACCCGGAGTCACCACCAACGATGTATTCTTTAGCCACGGCAGTTGCAGGGAGAAGAATTGCGAAAATGGCAAGGATGACAAACGTATAATTAGAAGCCATTGATGGAGTTTAATTACTTGGATTAAAGTAAATTATAATTTGCTCCAAATATGATTGTGTTAATTAGGGTTCCATGGAGAGTCTATATTTATAGCAAATTTTCAATGGTAATTAAATTACTTCGTTAACTTCAAAATTAAAAAAGAAACTGGCGAAGGATCGGCTTACATAGTAGCATATACCGTAATTACACAATGTGTTAGACGTGGCGAAAGCAAGGAGGGGGTATCTTTGAGTCAAGATATATGTTAATAAGATGGTGAACTTGGTAATATTAAACAATTAATATATAGATTTAAGTTTAGAGATTAATTCGAGGTATTGTTGTTGACTGTTGAAAGCTGCCGGCTGTAGACGAGGAATACAATACATTTGTTCCAATGTTCTTTACTCTTTGTTGTTTAATTAGTTCTTTACCGCCATATAGATCCACTCCACCGGCCAAATTCTTCAGTCATTTTGATTTGAAATTAAATGGGCATATAGTATATAATATTACACATGAATTATATTATATCAAAGTCCAATGTTGTGAACACTAGATCATGAGACCTTGTTTTGTTTAAACTACCTCTAAGTAGTTGGTGGTTCGCTTGAGACTCTTGGATGTATTACTTAAGAGATCATGAGTTCGAATCTCGACGATCACTAATAAGGGGTAACCACTGGAGGCTTATTTAACCGTTAATTTCAGAACCTCAGAAGACTAGTTGAAGTATGCGCAAACTGACTTGGACACCTTCGGATGCCAAAAAAAATATTTATATTATATCGATGTAAAAAATTGATTTAACTTGATTTGTGACACTAATTTATAATCATATGTTAAAATAATCTAATGATTTACACGTTTTTGAGGTGACTAAAAAAAAAAAAAGTATGTAATTTCATCTTCTATCTCAAGTTTATAGGATTGCAATGAATGTATGATCAATAAATGAAGAATTCAACTATCTATATAGCCTTTTAAAAAGTAAAAGCTAAATGATACTTTCTAACCTGTTTGATAATCTTCGAGAGCATCGATGTTGCATACTTCTGACATTAATCTCTTCTTTAACTTGTTGAGTGTTGACCACATTGCATCACTTTGTTTTGAGGTTTTTTACTCCTTCCATGAATCTCAATACACTACAAGAAAAAATGTGTTTTTCCAACAAGTTTTCGGCATCAATATAAACGATCCCTTCCGACGCTATAAAATGTCGGGACAAGTGTTTTATCTTCTTCGACATAAAGTATGATCAATATAGACTTTTTAGCCTACTACGATTTAATCTTGACATTGCAATATATTTGAATACACTTTGAAGTCTGCTACCATGCTACATTGGCATCGTCATAGGTCTTGTTGTGCTTATTAACCTGGCGCCATAGCGCGATGGAGTCGTTGTACCCCTTTCCTTAATTGTGTAAGAGAAGCTTGGAATTAATTCATAGATGGAAGAGAAAGTACCATGAATAGTTTGCTGTGTAGTACATGTGCTAGTGTACTGTACTATTAAGTTTCATGTTATTAAAATATTATAAACAAAGATTTAATTCGTTACCTTACTGGAGCAGACACTTTGGATTATAGTCACTAGTCAATTCATGAGTCATAACGTAAATATACTATATATACAACAAACTAACATTTTCTTAATTGTGTTTGATAAATATAAAAACAATTTGTATTATAATAATTTAAGTTCAGATAGCCTAGCTCTTTCATAAATAAATTAGAGAAAAATTAGTACTGCGTACACATTTTAAACTATGAAAAACTTATTGGCATTTCAGCAGCTCTTAAGACTTAAGTATTTTGTAATTAATCACACCAATTTATTATGCCACTGCTAACAGAAATCTTTCGTGTTTAACATCAAGTGTCAACAACAAGCAAGTTCATGAATTCATTAATTGATTAGAAATATTTTTTGTATTCGTTAGAAGCGGCAGAGCTTGGTCTAAAATTTCTACTATTGGGATCAGTAACGGATCCAGAAATTTTGTTAGGATGGGCAAAAATTAAAATTAATCGTACATTAATATTTTCGTCCATTAATATTTCTGTTAAGGTGAGCCAAAATCTAGAAATTGTACATATTAGTATTTTTTTTTTAAATTAAGCTAAGGGCAAGTGTTGGATCCGCCCCTGATTGGGATCATGCATATATGTCAGCGGAAAAGCAAATGTTCAACTGGTATAGGGATGGTAAAAAAAGTTTAGTCAATTTTAATGGTAATTAACTAACCCCTGGGTGATCGAGTTGTTCGATAAGAATTCTTGATTATATTATTCAAGAGATTATGAATTTGAGTTTCTCCTCGGTTGTTAATAGGGGTGGTCACTGGAGCTCTTACCTTGTCAATAATTCCAACATTCAGAGGGATTAGTTAAGGTGTGTATAAGCTAGTATGAACAACCCTAGTTATTAAAAAAAAAATTGTTTAATTTTAAGTGTAAATATGTTTCCAACGATATTAAAAGAGTATTTAATTGTTATGGGCTATGGGATAATTCTTGTTTTCTGCCCCTTATGTCGTAAGTCTTAACCATGATTAATTCAAGATAAAATTTGATTGGATATAAGCCACTTTGAAATATATAAATAATTAGGTCAACTGAATCTTGGATTTGAATCCATTCAATTCAATTTCAAGTGGGATAAAATCTAATATAGAATAAATTAATATAGACCGAGTGAAGAAAAAGTATTTATGATCATCCATAGCTGAAGGAATGTATCAGCCACAAATGAGAAAATTTAGCTGCCCGGTCCCCCCAAGTATGCATTTAAGAAAATGGCCTTGAAACTGTTCATCAAATATTTTATAATTTAGAGAAGATGACGTGGCATAGTTAGGATTAATTAAACACGAAAAATGGGTTAAAATGAAAAGATTAAAACATATGTGGGCCGAATCAGAAATAATGAAAGTTTTCAAAATTTGAAATTTCGCAAAAAACAAGCCCACACTCTATTCCGTCGCTTAATCGAAATTCATCAGTGAAAACGCGATTTCTTGACGAAAGGGAGACGCGATTTTTTCCGATCCAACACCAATTGATTTGCACCCTAAGTCAATTTCTTGAACCCTAAACCGAATACCGTCGCGATTTTCGGCGATATAGTCGCGATTTTCGATCGATTTGTGAACCCTAAGATCGATTTCTTCAACTATAAATGGAATCTGCGCGATTTCCGGCGATACAGCCCATATTTCCAATCCAAACTACAATTTTCACACCAAATTCAATCCAAAACCATGGCTGACACTCACAATGACGACGACAAACCAACGCCACTTCGAATCCTCGATTCCGGTGGCGCAAGCAGTTCAATGGCTGCTCCGGTCGATCATCTGACCATGAAGGCGGTCCACACGTAGAGGAGACGCCGGCGGCACAAGAACAGAGGGAAGAACCAGCAAAGGGGTCTGAAGACGGGAGTCAGGCGGGACTTCAGGCCAGAAGGAGGATTCCGGAGAGAATGCAGGCCAGGAGGTGGATTCCGGTGATAATTCAGGGCAGGAGGAGTCGCCGGAGGATCCAGGCGACGAGGAGAAGGCCGGCGAAGATAGGGTACGTAGTTTGGATGTTGCTTGTAATTCGCTTAAGCGATCATTTATATCGCTTAAGCGATATTCTGTTTACTCGTGACGCAGCAATGATCGCTTAAGAATCATGAGTGTTTACTCTTGGTGGCTTAAGCGATCTTAGGTCTGGGCAGAATCACAGATTAAGAGATCTCTCAGTTAACTTTTGGTCGCTTAAGCGATCTTGCATGAGACAATAAAGATCTCTTAAGCGATCCATGATCGCTAAGCGACTACAGTGGTTTTGGTTTATTTTTGTTGATGACATTTTATTTATATCGATTGTGCAGATTGTGCGGACGTAAGCTGTAGAGAGTACGAGTTGGAGCCTATAGGAGAAGGTACCCTACTTCCCTGCAAGGGTGAAGTGAGGTCGAGCTGGGAGGTTTTTGACAGAATAAGGGCCCTTTAGTAGAATGAGGCATGGTGAAAGAGATTTTGGTGACACTTGTTCGATCAGTTTTTAAGAATTGGAAAAAAGTGGAAAAAGTCATTTTGGGGGCAGGGAGTGCATTAAATGTTGATGCACTCAGTAAATGCAAGAAAAAAAATGAAATGTGGTTGTGGTGGAGGGAAAGCCACTACGGTTTGGTATGATGGAGTATGCGTTGGTGACGGGCTTAGGATGCGGGAAAGTGCCAACTAAGGCGGAGCGGGCAGACGAGTAAGGAAGAGTGCGGGAGCCATAAACTTTGTAAAAAGGTTTTGAAAGGGGCAAAGTCTATACGGAAAAGTTTTAGAGAAGAGGCTATCTACAGTTCGGTTTAGTGATGCAGAGAAGATAAAAGTGTGCTTGATATTGTTTTTACATTCTATCTTATTGGCTGGTGACTCAACAAAAGCTATTGAGAAAGATTGGTTGCTGTTATAAGCGACTTTGGGTTCTTTAATGCTTATCCGTGGGGACGGATATATTTGAGCGAACCATCAAGAGCCTGAAAAAACCAGACATGGCGTTAAAGCATGCCGAATGGGCGGGGAAGGCTAAACCAAGCACGTATAATTGTGTTGGCTCCCATGGGCAATGCAGGTAAATATTAATAGCTCTATGTTATATTTTTTATAATATGTGTGTTTGATAATGACATGGACTGTTTTTTTACAATGTAGGTTGGATGTACGAGGCCATCCCTGTCTTCGCTAAGGCGGGGGGGAGGAGCAACAATGTGAATGTGCAACAGCAATTCCTAGGATGTTGCGGTGGCATGTCGAGAGCTGTAACCCTTGGGATTATGGCCAATTAGAGATTGAGATTCAAGCAGCTGGGGTAAGATTGAGGATTAAGCTTTTGAATATGCAGTTGCTTTTTTATTTTGCTTCAATCTGATTGATTTTTTTCTTATTGCAGGGAGTCGTCCGTCCCTTTTTGACCCCTATGGGGATGAAGCGAAGAGGACTATGTCACATCTTTCAAAGCAATGGAGGATGAAAGGGATGAACAGTAGACCGCCTGATGCGGGACCTA